CCGGATTTTGGGTCAGGATGAATTGCCGGAAAGTTCTCTGGTTTCACCGAGAACGGGCGCCCCTGTGAAGCTTCTGGGTAGGGAAGATGCAAGCGTGTAAGTTCTCATCTTTGTGTCTGAATTAATTACTTTTTTAATTCTTTGGATGTTGTTTATAATTAGTTTGGTTACTCACATTTCTTTTTTGAATATTAATGTATGGCATTGCTGTGTAGTTATGTTTTTTAAGATTTAGGCTTATGTCAATGCTTTATTCATGGCTGTGCATGGTACTTTGTTGTGCTAGAAGGTTTTTCAAGATGAGCTGGTTGAGAGTTTCTATGTTACTTACGCCCTGAGATAAAATACAAATGCGGCTTTGCGTTTGAGGTCTGCATTGGTGGCAAGTTATATATGGAGGTTATTGGTCAAAGAAGTCCTTCATTTTTGTTCATTCTCAATATTGTGCTGGTAGAACCTGAGTGGATGTGCTGTCTCTAAAGTTTCCATTCTTTAAATTCATCGAGAACAATGAGTAGATGTTATTAAGTCCCTACTTCTTAATTAAGTTTGGTTGTTTTGTAGGAAGCTCCAGTCTCTAGTTTTCTGGAACTTTGTGGCTAAGTTTTAGTGCATATATGTAGTGGAACATAATTTACCCACTTATTATTAATGGATTAAGCTGGACTCAATTACATTCCACTAAAGCACTTGTCTGATGGATTGAATTTCACCACCACACAGAACACTTGTGGGAGTGAGTATTAGTATTGTGTTGAATTTCACTTTACCTTCCCTGAACCTCAAGGACAGGAAGAGACTCTAAACATTGTTGTGCTATGGAGTCTGTGAAACTAAGATTTTATGTCTGAGGTAACAACCTGTAGGCTAAATGCCTTGTGTAGTATATATTTGGCTGGGCAAGTCAAGTTTTTGCCATTATTTAATGAGAAATATCTCTTACATGCTTATCATTTTCCCTTTTTCCTTCTCCTAGTTTGACCTCCTACTTGTCACATTCAACCCTTCAACACCCGATCCACCAACACCATGGCCTAGCACTACAACTGCCGCTAACCACCACCACAAGAAGGTGATTTTTCCACCTGCAAACTTTTTCTTTTCGACTCTTTTTCCTTTTTTAAGAAACCACCACCCACCACTGCTAATACTCACCATATATGCCGTCATACTTCTCCCCCATGACAAATCATTTCCAAGGAAACCTTACACAGAATAAAAAAAAGCAAGAATGCATAGCCAATGGATTGATTTGGAAGATGCTCTTTTTGGAATGTGGATTGATTGGTTTTCTAAAATGAGTTATTAAATGGGTACTGCCATTTCATAGGTTACAGCCATTTTCCTATAGTAATTACGATGATGATTAGGTTCATGCAAATTCGTCTTTGATTTCATGATATTATGATATAACAGGAATCCAATTATATTCTCTTCTTTTTAAGGGCCAAGTTTTTCAACTGGTCGGTCATGGCTATGATAGTTCGTGGTGGCTCTTGACGAGGAAAATTATTTGTAGGCCCCCAGGGATGGTTAATGATGGGAGTCATCTTGGGTAATTGATGGCAGGAGTGGCCTCAGGTTCAGTGAAGGCAAGTGAAGGTGGTGGTGAAGGTTGGGTTTTGGTAGCAGTGGTGGTGCCATACTTAATGTATATATGGACAGAGATAATTGATGTCTGAAGATCCAAAAAAAGCCCATGGATGAATTTAGACTCTGAATGTTAGTTAATAAAATGACTTGTACTGGAGTATAAATGAAGTCGGATTCATACATAAACATGGGTATATTGTTGGTGAGATTGGCTTGCAAAGTTTTATCAGCCAATAAAGGTGGTTTAGTGGGAAAGATGAAGGTGGTGTTGACTGGCTGCTACATGCCAATGGTAATTTTCTTTTTATACTCATTCCTTGATGGAGTGTTAGTTTTGCAAACAACTTCATAATTATTTTATTTTTTGTGGGATGAGGTTTGAACCCACAATCACTTTCGGGTGGGAGTGGGGGACTTCCCATTGGGCCACTCCCTCACCTCAAACAATTCCAACATGCAAGGAGGTTTAGTTTGTCAAATCTAACTAAGCATCTTCAACAGTACTTGAGAGAGTTACATTTTCAAGATGTTCTCTCTGGCTGCTTCTGAATGCATTTGCAATATTATTGAATGATTGATCGAATAATTGAATATTCCTTGCCATTTTTTTTCTTCAAAATACCATATGGTTTGAACTACACATTATGACTACTCCTTAGCTGGGCCCATTAGATCTTGCAAATTTCAAGTAGTTCGGTTTGAATCTTCTGATTTGATTTTTTCCTTTTCTTGGGGACAGTAGGCAAGACTATTTACCATTTGCAATGATTTTTGTTTTAGAAATTGAGTTTTTGAGGTGTACGTAAGTATTGGACATTTGTTCTTGTTTCATTCTTGTTAGCGGAAGACTGGGAAAAAAAAATTCGAACCCTTTTTTCATAATACAGTACAGAACTTGTGAATTGGGTCATGTGCCTTTGAATTCAGACTATTATGTATGTTATGGGAAAGAACAGTATGGCCAAATCTTATTGTTACTCCTATTCTCACACATTATTCTGTTCATAGTATGGCTCAGTCATTTATTGTACTTATCTTGAAAGAAGAATGGTCTGATTAGCTATGTTATTTCATGGACCAGCTGATGTTATATCTTGTACTTCTCTGAAAAGAACTATTTTTGTGAATTCCCCTTAGCTTGGATCTGAATTTGACTGAGGTGCTTAAGTTGAAAAAGAACCTTGGCTAACATTGTGTTTCTGCATATTACGTTTGGCCCCTTATGACAGATCCTCTCCATCTTATATTTTTAGAACTGAAAATTCCATATGCATAAGTTTTTAAATTCAAAAAGAAACAACTGCTGCCCTTGGAGGGAGCCTTACCTATTCTGAGTCCTGCCGGCTCATGTTGGGTAAAAAATGTTGCTAACTATAGCATGCATTTAGGCTTTCGCGTCAAGCCTGCAAACATGGTTGTTCTTTTTTCCTTTATTCTTGACATGTTTCTGAGTTTCTTGACAAGAGTTGCTTTTCCTTACTTGNTACATAAACATGGGTATATTGTTGGTGAGATTGGCTTGCAAAGTTTTATCAGCCAATAAAGGTGGTTTAGTGGGAAAGATGAAGGTGGTGTTGACTGGCTGCTACATGCCAATGGTAATTTTCTTTTTATACTCATTCCTTGATGGAGTGTTAGTTTTGCAAACAACTTCATAATTATTTTATTTTTTGTGGGATGAGGTTTGAACCCACAATCACTTTCGGGTGGGAGTGGGGGACTTCCCATTGGGCCACTCCCTCACCTCAAACAATTCCAACATGCAAGGAGGTTTAGTTTGTCAAATCTAACTAAGCATCTTCAACAGTACTTGAGAGAGTTACATTTTCAAGATGTTCTCTCTGGCTGCTTCTGAATGCATTTGCAATATTATTGAATGATTGATCGAATAATTGAATATTCCTTGCCATTTTTTTTCTTCAAAATACCATATGGTTTGAACTACACATTATGACTACTCCTTAGCTGGGCCCATTAGATCTTGCAAATTTCAAGTAGTTCGGTTTGAATCTTCTGATTTGATTTTTTCCTTTTCTTGGGGACAGTAGGCAAGACTATTTACCATTTGCAATGATTTTTGTTTTAGAAATTGAGTTTTTGAGGTGTACGTAAGTATTGGACATTTGTTCTTGTTTCATTCTTGTTAGTGGAAGACTGGGGTTACAGCTGCTTTTTTTTTTTCATGTAGTCTAGCCAACCCTTTTGTGTTGACTGGGAAAAAAAAATTCGAACCCTTTTTTCATAATACAGTACAGAACTTGTGAATTGGGTCATGTGCCTTTGAATTCAGACTATTATGTATGTTATGGGAAAGAACAGTATGGCCAAATCTTATTGTTACTCCTATTCTCACACATTATTCTGTTCATAGTATGGCTCAGTCATTTATTGTACTTATCTTGAAAGAAGAATGGTCTGATTAGCTATGTTATTTCATGGACCAGCTGATGTTATATCTTGTACTTCTCTGAAAAGAACTATTTTTGTGAATTCCCCTTAGCTTGGATCTGAATTTGACTGAGGTGCTTAAGTTGAAAAAGAACCTTGGCTAACATTGTGTTTCTGCATATTACGTTTGGCCCCTTATGACAGATCCTCTCCATCTTATATTTTTAGAACTGAAAATTCCATATGCATAAGTTTTTAAATTCAAAAAGAAACAACTGCTGCCCTTGGAGGGAGCCTTACCTATTCTGAGTCCTGCCGGCTCATGTTGGGTAAAAAATGTTGCTAACTATAGCATGCATGTAGGCTTTCGCGTCAAGCCTGCAAACTTGGTTGTTCTTTTTTCCTTTATTCTTGACATGTTTCTGAGTTTCTTGACAAGAGTTGCTTTTCCTTACTGGTTCAGGGACTGGTATAATCTTGAAAAATCTAAACGGGTGAAGGCATTTCGTTGTGGAGAGTATGATGACTGCATTNTTTTTTTTTTTTGGGTGGTGGTGGGGTTGGGGGAGAGTGTTGGGCATTGACGGATTGTAAGCAAGAAGTGGTGAACCCTTATCCTCACCCCTTACTTACATGAGATTTTTTAGCTTTTAAAATGCCTCTCTTCACATAAATGCATGTGTGAATTCTTTAATGAATGTTTTTCTGTCTTGTTGAGTATCATTCACACCTGCTATTTAACTCCTCTTAAGCATTTTCAATGTTTCATGAGTTGTAGCTCACTCATACTTTTGGCTTCTCTAGTGTTTTTTTTCACTCTAGCCTTGGGGCAAATTATAATAATTTTACAATAGCAAAACCAAAATATATATATATATAAGATAATTTTTCGAAGTTTGTTATTATGCGTGCATTCCTACTCTCTGCTGCAGTATTTACTTGATCATTTTTACCCTTCCTGTTGCACTTAAAATGGGGCCTTGCATTGATTCATTTGAACATATTTACCATATGCTGATATGTTTATTCATTTGCCAGGCCTTTCTCCATTATTTGTATCTTGTGCACCTCAAAAGCCGCAGATTGGTGCTGGAGCACAGTCGAGTCAAAGCAGTCAAGTTGAGACTGTATCTTTGGGAAATGAGGAGTTAAATGAGTCGGGTTCTACCAGTTCAGGTGCTACTGATTTTAATAATATCAGCAATGGCGTGGAGAAAGGTGCTTCCAAATGGCAGTTAAAAAGAAAGAGGAACTCTAGACACACAAGTAAAAGCAAAAAACAAGTTTTAAGAAAAGATATGGATGTGGATGAGGAATCTGACTTGACCGGTATGGAGCCACGGGATGTCTTCTCTCTTGGTTCCGGTCGGAAAGATGATTGCAATCCCATTGGGGGATCCGTCACTTCAGACAGCTGCACCTACCGACCACACTCCAGACCAGTTCCTGGGACCCAAATAGATGAGTTTCAAGGTTGGGGCACACAATTTTCTCATAAGGAAGCCCGTATGAGGGTGCCTACAGCTGAAGTGCTAACTCCCCAAAGGTCACTGCCATACCGTCAGTCGCGCTTTACAGTCAACCCAAGATATGAAATATCAGATTTTCCTCTCAGAAATTGCAATGCTGATTCGCCCTTGTATGATGTTAATCTGGAGGTGAAAGCCAGCTATCGTCCTCAGCATGTTCCTTATATTTCTCTCATGAGCAAATTGAACGGTCAACCCATTACAGGCCACCCTCTTACAATTGAGGTTTTGGAAGATGGCTATTGTGATCTTATATTGAGTGTTTCTGAAAGCTATAGTAGCATCTCTGAGTTAGATGACGGTGTGGGTGAAAATACATTGGCTTTGCAAGGTGTTGATATGGCTAATGTAAGGAGGCCAAATTCAGATGGAAGAATTCCTACTAAGCATATTGCATTGCAGTCACACGTTTCACCGAGAAAATCACCCAAGTCAAGGAAAAATGGGTTCTTGTCTAAAAAGATCCGGAAATTGTCTTCATTAACTGGTTCTCACAAGCTATGTGTAGGAGAGAAGAAGCCAGTGGTAGAGAAGCTCAAGGGTCCTGCTGTAGCTTGTGTCCCCATTAAAGTAGTTTTTAGCAGGATAAATGCCACACTGAGCAGCACGATGCGGCCTGCCCACCGTGTGATGACTCCAAGCAAGGTGTAAAATTTGTTTCTTGGATACAACAGTCGAGGTTGTGGGATTTTTTTTTTTTTTTAGGAATTTTGATTCAAATAGCCAGCCTAGCCTAGGTTTTCATCATTCACATTATAAATTTTGTTTGATTTCTAGTGCTGTACATTCTGCCCTAATAGTAGAATCCATACTCGTATAATAATGCCCATCACATTTTAGTGTGTAGTTGCTGGTAGAAGTACAATGAAAGTACTACCCATGTAGGCTTCTCCTCTCTCTCTGGCTGTGTATATAATGTAACATTAGGTGAGGTGTAAAGATGGTGATCTGATATACTGGATTCTTGTTGGTTTAGGGGGGGCTAATTTTTAAAGAGTAATGCTGGTGTCAACATAAGTCGCAGCTCTCATTTTCTGACTTTTCAGTGTTAGGGAATTAATTTATTTTTCAATTAGCAATTTTAAGTGTATATACATTTGCTTTTATTGGAAAATGAAGATGAGATGTACCCAAATGGACCCTTATCTTTTATGAAATAAACTTGCTTCAAAGGAACATGGTAATTTCAAAGCGACGACAAATACTAATACAAGGTTAAAGGTTTCTACGAAATTATGTGGTATTCATTAATGATACGGCAAACGGTATGGAAAGATTGAAATTATATACTCTTTCCGTTTTTACATATCCGTCATTTAAGTTTTTAGCAAATGGTACGGAAAGATGGATATTAAATACTCTATCTGTTCTTAAATATCCGTTGTTTAAGTTTTTTGCACAGGAATTAAAGAATCTATTAAATAGCTCTAATACGAGTAAAAAATAATTGTACAAGTCTAAAATATTTTTATTCAATACGTATTGGGAAGAAAAAGAATATGAAAGACACTAATCTATACTTAATTTATTAAACACTTATTGAAAAACAAAGATAAGGGTAAATTTGAAAGAANACTCCTCTTAAGCATTTTCAATGTTTCATGAGTTGTAGCTCACTCATACTTTTGGCTTCTCTAGTGTTTTTTTTCACTCTAGCCTTGGGGCAAATTATAATAATTTTACAATAGCAAAACCAAAATATATATATATATATAAGATAATTTTTCGAAGTTTGTTATTATGCGTGCATTCCTACTCTCTGCTGCAGTATTTACTTGATCATTTTTACCCTTCCTGTTGCACTTAAAATGGGGCCTTGCATTGATTCATTTGAACATATTTACCATATGCTGATATGTTTATTCATTTGCCAGGCCTTTCTCCATTATTTGTATCTTGTGCACCTCAAAAGCCGCAGATTGGTGCTGGAGCACAGTCGAGTCAAAGCAGTCAAGTTGAGACTGTATCTTTGGGAAATGAGGAGTTAAATGAGTCGGGTTCTACCAGTTCAGGTGCTACTGATTTTAATAATATCAGCAATGGCGTGGAGAAAGGTGCTTCCAAATGGCAGTTAAAAAGAAAGAGGAACTCTAGACACACAAGTAAAAGCAAAAAACAAGTTTTAAGAAAAGATATGGATGTGGATGAGGAATCTGACTTGACCGGTATGGAGCCACGGGATGTCTTCTCTCTTGGTTCCGGTCGGAAAGATGATTGCAATCCCATTGGGGGATCCGTCAGTTCAGACAGCTGCACCTACCGACCACACTCCAGACCAGTTCCTGGGACCCAAATAGATGAGTTTCAAGGTTGGGGCACACAATTTTCTCATAAGGAAGCCCGTATGAGGGTGCCTACAGCTGAAGTGCTAACTCCCCAAAGGTCACTGCCATACCGTCAGTCGCGCTTTACAGTCAACCCAAGATATGAAATATCAGATTTTCCTCTCAGAAATTGCAATGCTGATTCGCCCTTGTATGATGTTAATCTGGAGGTGAAAGCCAGCTATCGTCCTCAGCATGTTCCTTATATTTCTCTCATGAGCAAATTGAATGGTCAACCCATTACAGGCCACCCTCTTACAATTGAGGTTTTGGAAGATGGCTATTGTGATCTTATGTTGAGTGTTTCTGAATGCTATAGTAGCATCTCTGAGTTAGATGACGGTGTGGGTGAAAATACATTGGCTTTGCAAGGTGTTGATATGGCTAATGTAAGGAGGCCAAATTCAGATGGAAGAATTCCTACTAAGCATATTGCATTGCAGTCACACGTTTCACCGAGAAAATCACCCAAGTCAAGGAAAAATGGGTTCTTGTCTAAAAAGATCCGGAAATTGTCTTCATTAACTGGTTCTCACAAGCTATGTGTAGGAGAGAAGAAGCCAGTGGTAGAGAAGCTCAAGGGTCCTGCTGTAGCTTGTGTCCCCATTAAAGTAGTTTTTAGCAGGATAAATGCCACACTGAGCAGCACGATGCGGCCTGCCCACCGTGTGATGACTCCAAGCAAGGTGTAAAATTTGTTTCTTGGATACAACAGTCGAGGTTGTGGGATTTTTTTTTTTTTTTAGGAATTTTGATTCAAATAGCCAGCCTAGCCTAGGTTTTCATCATTCACATTATAAATTTTGTTTGATTTCTAGTGCTGTACATTCTGCCCTAATAGTAGAATCCATACTCGTATAATAATGCCCATCACATTTTAGTGTGTAGTTGCTGGTAGAAGTACAATGAAAGTACTACCCATGTAGGCTTCTCCTCTCTCTCTGGCTGTGTATATAATGTAACATTAGGTGAGGTGTAAAGATGGTGATCTGATATACTGGATTCTTGTTGGTTTAGGGGGGGCTAATTTTTAAAGAGTAATGCTGGTGTCAACATAAGTCGCAGCTCTCATTTTCTGACTTTTCAGTGTTAGGGAATTAATTTATTTTTCAATTAGCAATTTTAAGTGTATATACATTTGCTTTTATTGGAAAATGAAGATGAATCTTTTATGAAATAAACTTGCTTCAAAGGAACATGGTAATTTCAAAGCGACGACAAATACTAATACAAGGTTAAAGGTTTCCACGAAATTATGTGGTATTCATTAATGATACGGCAAATGGTATGGAAAGATTGAAATTATATACTCTCTCCGTTCTTACATATCCGTCATTTAAGTTTTTAGCAAATGGTACGGAAAGATGGATATTAAATACTCTATCCGTTCTTAAATATTCGTCGTTTAAGTTTTTTGCACAAGAATTAAAGAATCTATTAAATAGCTCTAATACGAGTAAAAAATAATTGCACAAGTCTAAAATACTTTTATTCAATACGTATTGGGAAGAAAAAGAATATGAAAGACACTAATCTATACTTAATTTATTAAATACTTATTGGAAAACAAAGATAAGGGTAAATTTGAAGANCCCAAGATATGAAATATCAGATTTTCCTCTCAGAAATTGCAATGCTGATTCGCCCTTGTATGATGTTAATCTGGAGGTGAAAGCCAGCTATCGTCCTCAGCATGTTCCTTATATTTCTCTCATGAGCAAATTGAATGGTCAACCCATTACAGGCCACCCTCTTACAATTGAGGTTTTGGAAGATGGCTATTGTGATCTTATGTTGAGTGTTTCTGAATGCTATAGTAGCATCTCTGAGTTAGATGACGGTGTGGGTGAAAATACATTGGCTTTGCAAGGTGTTGATATGGCTAATGTAAGGAGGCCAAATTCAGATGGAAGAATTCCTACTAAGCATATTGCATTGCAGTCACACGTTTCACCGAGAAAATCACCCAAGTCAAGGAAAAATGGGTTCTTGTCTAAAAAGATCCGGAAATTGTCTTCATTAACTGGTTCTCACAAGCTATGTGTAGGAGAGAAGAAGCCAGTGGTAGAGAAGCTCAAGGGTCCTGCTGTAGCTTGTGTCCCCATTAAAGTAGTTTTTAGCAGGATAAATGCCACACTGAGCAGCACGATGCGGCCTGCCCACCGTGTGATGACTCCAAGCAAGGTGTAAAATTTGTTTCTTGGATACAACAGTCGAGGTTGTGGGATTTTTTTTTTTTTTTAGGAATTTTGATTCAAATAGCCAGCCTAGCCTAGGTTTTCATCATTCACATTATAAATTTTGTTTGATTTCTAGTGCTGTACATTCTGCCCTAATAGTAGAATCCATACTCGTATAATAATGCCCATCACATTTTAGTGTGTAGTTGCTGGTAGAAGTACAATGAAAGTACTACCCATGTAGGCTTCTCCTCTCTCTCTGGCTGTGTATATAATGTAACATTAGGTGAGGTGTAAAGATGGTGATCTGATATACTGGATTCTTGTTGGTTTAGGGGGGGCTAATTTTTAAAGAGTAATGCTGGTGTCAACATAAGTCGCAGCTCTCATTTTCTGACTTTTCAGTGTTAGGGAATTAATTTATTTTTCAATTAGCAATTTTAAGTGTATATACATTTGCTTTTATTGGAAAATGAAGATGAATCTTTTATGAAATAAACTTGCTTCAAAGGAACATGGTAATTTCAAAGCGACGACAAATACTAATACAAGGTTAAAGGTTTCCACGAAATTATGTGGTATTCATTAATGATACGGCAAATGGTATGGAAAGATTGAAATTATATACTCTCTCCGTTCTTACATATCCGTCATTTAAGTTTTTAGCAAATGGTACGGAAAGATGGATATTAAATACTCTATCCGTTCTTAAATATTCGTCGTTTAAGTTTTTTGCACAAGAATTAAAGAATCTATTAAATAGCTCTAATACGAGTAAAAAATAATTGCACAAGTCTAAAATACTTTTATTCAATACGTATTGGGAAGAAAAAGAATATGAAAGACACTAATCTATACTTAATTTATTAAATACTTATTGGAAAACAAAGATAAGGGTAAATTTGAAGAAAAAATATTAATTATATTTTTGTTTCATTAAACGATAGTTGTTATGGAATAAAAAAAATTGTTCAAAATAACAAATATTTAGGAATGGATGAAGTACAATTGAGATATTAAAAAAAAGTAGGAAAATTTATAATTTAACAAAAAATATAGTACAAAAATGAAATAAACAAAATGATTACGTTTTAAACATGTGATATTATCTAAAAGAATGACATATGATAATTTTTGTTAAACAATTTAACAAATTGTCTAATTAGAGATTAAAGTAACACAAATTAACATTTTAGAAATTAAATTAATATAATGTGGACTGGATTGATAAAACCTGTATATTTTAGGTACTAAAAATGCTATTAACTCTAAATTTTAACAAGATAAAAAGGGTAATTATGGTATTTCAGTAGTTATTAGGACTTGAACGTAATATTAGAAATTGAGGCGTGCAATTTAAGTCATTAGATCCTCGCTGCCCCTAGGGTTTCAAACGCTGTTTATATACAAACAGAACTTCCTTCGTCTCCTCTCACCCTCCCCAAATCTCCCACCAAAGGCTGTCGAACAAACCCCTAGAAGAGCACTCTCTCTCGGTAACCTATTTCTTTCTCTAAAAATCTGTGTGTATAATCGAAAATTTATGTGTATTTGAGTGAATTGTTTTTTCTCTATGCAGAGCGTGGTGAAGAAATGACTACAGTGGCAGGGCAGCTGATATGGGAGATTGTGAAGAAGAACAACTCTTTCCTGGTGAAGGAGTTCGGTAATGGGACTGCCAAAGTGCAGTTCAGCAAAGAGCCCAACAACCTCTACAACCTCAACTCCTACAAGCACTCTGGTAATACTCCTATTGCATTGAATCATTTTCTTTTCTGCTGATTCATTCCATCATCTTTATGATCTTCGTTTCTGATAACATTTTAGATCCTGCCGGTGTTTTCTGTTTAGTTTCAACCTTAGGATTATCGCTTATTTTTGTATATCGAAATATTGACTAAATGAGATTTGATTTGGATTTGAACTAGTAATTGTATTTGTTTTATGGTTTCAAGTTACCATGTAGAGAGCATTAGGCTTTGGGGAGTTTTAGTGTTGGCGGATTCAATTGAATTGGAATTTTTAGTTGTATTTATTTTCTGTTAGGATTGGCAAACAAGAAAACCGTAACAATTCTACCCGGAGGCAAAGATCAATCAGTGTTGCTTGCAACCACGAAGACCAAGAAGCAGAACAAGCCTGCTACTTTACTTAACAAGTCTGTCATGAAGAAGGAGTTCAGCCGAATGGCCAAGGCAGTTTCAAATCAGGTAATTAATTTCTTTAGAATCCATGTTTCTCATAAACATTCATAGCTTAATCTGTCTATATCTTTATTTTAGTTTGCTAAGGTGTTCACCATATTTATTTGCCTCATCAATGGATTGTTTTTTCTTACTGTGGATATATTTAGCAGTAACTGCAATATGTTCTGGAATGACTCCATCCTAGTTGTGTGGTTTTCAGTGGATTGTGCAGAAGTTAGGGGTTACTAATTTTCTTGTTGATGGAAATTTTTATAAATTCCCAAGGTGCCGCACTCCTAGTTGTGTGCTGATATTGAATTGTTGGGATCAACAAATAGTTGTATTCTCATAGTGAGTGTTACTTCCAAGTTACTCACCGTAAAGGAAAACTTAAAAGTTGACCCTAGTTCTTTAAAAAGAAGTACTTTTCCACGATGTGGTACAAGGTTTCATTGATTATTATCAAGTTTTTGATGGATAGAACTTTACTATGATTGAATTAGTACTTTAGATGCAAATAAATTGGAAGGCTTTTGTGGGTTTGTGGCACTGCAAGCTACAAGGTTGGAGCTAAGTTGTTTTTTCTGAGGATATATAATATTTGCTCGGATTCAATTAGCAGCCAGTGGTCTAGCTATATGCTGGATGTAATAATTTTTGGGTACTGCTCTAGGTACATTAGTGGTAGAAATTTAAACCGCTTCGAAGCTCAGATTGTAGTTTTTCAACTTCCAAACATATCTATAGGTTTTATGATTGTAATAAGATTTCTATTTGCATATATATTTGGATTGTTTAATTTTTTATAAGAATTATGTATTGTTAGTTACATATATTTTTTATCTCGTTTTTTTAGTTGATAGGATCTTAGGATTCTTGATCCGAGCCTATGATCTCGATCTTTTAGTCTCCCCCCATCGATCCAAGATTGGATCTTGATTTTTAAAACTATGGGTATTACTCAATAGTTATGGAGATCAGGGCAGGACCATCAATGAAATGATTTTTATTGATTGGCCACTTCATGTGTTTGCTTCTGTTGTATCTCGTGAATTGTGTGGCAGCCAATATTTGATTCTATCTTGGAAAATTCTTTGCGACTGGTATCTAAATTTAGTAAGTAATAATGAGCAGCTAACTTGTTTAAAGAATCCTAGTCACAGGCTTCTTCAATGAAATGCATCTTTGATGCTTGGCGTCTGAGCCGTAGTTTCCTATTACTGCTCTGGTAATGAGTGTCCTGTATATTCATAGTGACAGTAGATGGCTGTTTGGCACACTTTATCTAATACTTGGAGATCACAGGATTTGGCCTTCTTTCAGATACTTCCCTGTTTCTCATATAATTCTCTAGTTGTATGAATTCTACTTGTCTATGTTGTTTTCCTTTACTAAATTTTGGTTCAAAGACTGCTCTCTCTTCCCTCTCACTACGCGCACTTCTAAAGTATGAAATGTGATGTTCTTGAAGAATTGTTCAACAATGTTTTTCTTGTCTCTATTGCACACTTTTAAAGTAGGAAATGTGCTGCTCTTCATGGCTATAGCGTTTTTCTCTCGTCTCTAATATCTATCATTGTTGCAGGTGGCAGATAACTATTACAGACCAGATCTGAAGAAGGCAGCCCTTGCAAGGTTGAGTGCTGTGCACAGGAGCCTTAAGGTTGCCAAGTCTGGTGCCAAGAAGAGGAACAGGCAGGCTGTTAAGATCCGTGGTAGGAAGTGAAGTTGGGGATGAGTCATCTGTTTTTTCTTCCATCGTTGTCTTTCCTAAATGCTTCCTTTGCTTACCAAAGCCACCTTCACTTCCAACCCCCTTCCCCCTTCCCTTAATCCCGTCGAAGCTATTTTTAGCTTGAATGGTAGTTGTATGAAGTTTTTTGGACCGAAGAGCCATAGCATGCGTGGGTTTCCGTCTTATGATGGGTCTTGAATTTAGTTGCATGGAGGAGGATATTTTACTTGCTCAATTTCTTTTTGATTGTTTAAAGATGCTTAATTTTGGATCTTATGATACTTTTCTGTGGGTATTTTGATTTCGGCAAATGAGTTGTGAATGGAATTTTCTGATACCAAACGAGTTGCTCTTTTGGTTTCCCTGGAATTTTTCATTAAGGTCAGTATTGCAAAATGCTTTTTCAATTGAGTAAAATTCTTAGAAGCTTATAAAGAATTGTTCTTCATGGTGCTGTTGAGGTTTAAGTTTTGCTTGCAAGAGTATCGAGGCTTCAGTGGAACTGTAAAATCTTGAAGATCCCTTCCGCGAAGGGTGCATATGAATTCATTTTTTGTAATTCGCAACACCCGTGCAGAAATTTTGAATATTTGGTTTGGATGTCCATAAAAAAATGCTGATGCGGCGTATATTACTATATTTCATGTTGGATTGAGGTTAGGGTTGTGTAATTGAGTTTTATTAGTTGATCGAAGTTTCGAATACTAGGACTGAGTTTTAAAACTTGGACTTAGTGTGGATGAACTTTTCAACTAATCCAACGTGTTATTAGAGCATTTCCAAGAGATTAGATAAACTCTCCCCTTTAGCTATTTTAGATTTTTAGATGGTTTTTCTTTCAAAAGTGACTCTAAAAGAGTAGCTATCTGGTTATCTATTTCTCATAGCCTATTTTTTGCTCGATAAGTGTAGCTAGCCCACAACTCTCTCGCGCCCATCTTCGCCTCTCTCCAGCTCTTCATCATCAACAGTAAAACTCCATTGATCCCTGCCTCAAAATTCCATCGAAACTTTAGATTTGCTCTAAGTTTCAGGTATTTTGCCTCTTTGTCAGACTTAGACCATCGAAGCTTCAGACCATCGTTTGTTGCCTCAAGTATTCTAATTTCACCTAAACCCCTCCCCTTAACTGAGTTTCTTATCTTTGTCTATGAATTGAATCTCTGTCTCTGCTAAACAAATCCAACAAGGATCGCATCAACACTTCTGCTTTCAATTCCTTCAAGAATAATTATCTTCTTGTATACTCTCTCATGATGGGTATGCAAATCAACAGATTTGGCTCTTTTCCTCATTCTTTATAGATATACACGTAGTGTATGTATATGTAAGTAGGATGTTTCTAAATTTTTGGACAGCTATGGGCATTGGGTTAAATTGTTTTGTTCCTCTTGTATGATATTGCATTGGGTTTTATTGAATTGTTTTGTTTCTTTTACATTTCATTATTGAAAATTAGTTGAAATGGTTAATTAAAATAGATAAACTTGTTGGAGTGAGTTTGAAAAAATAGTTAGTTAAAATAGATAATATAATATTTAAATATATTTTAAATAATTATTTTAGATGGTGTTCTTGGAGATGCTCTTACANGTTGAAATGGTTAATTAAAATAGATAAACTTGTTGGAGTGAGTTTGAAAAAATAGTTAGTTAAAATAGATAATATAATATTTAAATATATTTTAAATAATTATTTTAGATGGTGTTCTTGATGTTTAAATTGATCCTCATTTGTGATTTTTTTTATTTTTATTTTGAGTCTGTTCTGTGTACGTTTCAAAGGAGAAATAAAAAAGGCTAACAGATCACGCGTGCACCTCGGTCAACTCCTTCCAAATAAAGAAAGAGTATCGGCTGTGTGAGCCATTCAAAAGGGTATTCGTCACAGGGGACCCACTCTAACACGGCCGGTGATCTCCAAGTTCACACGCGGTTGTAACTCGTTTTGATCACAGACGATCATAACTCTCAAAATTTAAATGCCAATAATACCCCATCAGACCCAACCCAAAGCAACGCAGTTTCTATATCGGAAATCAACCCCAACTTTCCAAGCCCTAACAATTCAAAATAAAGTCGAAGAACGATCGATTGGATTCCCAAATCCAAGTTCCCTCTCTCAAAACCCTTCTCTCTCTCTCTCTCTGCAAAGCGTTGATCTAGATCAGAGACATGGGGAACACAGAGAAGATGTTGAACCAGATCATGGAACTGAAATTCACAGCCAAGAGCCTCCAACGCCAAGCCCGAAAGTGCGAGAAAGAAGAGAAATCCGAGAAACTCAAGGTCAAGAAAGCCATCGAGAAAGGCAATATGGACGGCGCCCGAATCTACGCGGAGAACGCTATCCGCAAACGTAGCGAGCAGATGAACTATCTCCGATTGGCCTCTCGCCTCGACGCCGTGGTGGCGAGGCTCGATACTCAGGCCAAGATGACCACGATCAGCAAGTCGATGTCGTCGATCGTGAAATCGTTGGACTCTACGCTTGCCACTGGGAATTTGCAGAAGATGTCGGAGACGATGGATCAATTTGAGAAGCAGTTTGTCAATATGGAGGTCCAGGCCGAGTTTATGGAGAGTTCTATGGCCGGAAGTACTTCGCTTTCCACTCCGGAGGGTGATGTCAACAGTTTGATGCAGCAAGTGGCGGATGATTATGGATTGGAGGTGTCGGTGGGACTTCCTCAGCCGGCGGCTCACGCGGTGCCTGTGAGGATTACCGAGAAAGTGGATGAGGATGATCTGTCGAGGCGACTTGCTGAGCTCAAGGCTCGTGGCTGACTTAAATATAGCTTATGGAACCATTGTATGATATATTATTGCTTAATTTGGACGAATTTAAGATACCTAAACTTGACTGAATTGTGATCTTTGTTTTTTATTTTGTCGACATTTTGGTTATTTGGCTCCTAATTTGATCGATTTATGATTTTCTTTGCGCAAATCCTTTAGCTTTGAATTGTGTGCTGGGGTGGTGTTTGTTTGGTATTTGGTAGTCACATAGAATGGGCTTGGCTGGGTGTATGATTTATACAATTGGATACTTTATCTTATGTTGCAAGGAGGTATGTGAATTTATAAGATGGGATTAGATTCTTACGTCAGCATATGTTTATTTGATTCGGGATCCTGATGCCTTAACTAGTGTGCTTGAACTATGGTTGATTACATGTTGAGTGTAAGCTTGCACCCTTATAGTGATGAACTTGTAGGATTCCGAGTACTTTGTCTTGTTAGAATGTCATTTTTAAGTGTATTGTCGAAACTGTTGTTTATTTTTCATGTTCCTTTTTATATATTCATGTGAACTTTAGCTGACACTGACAACTATCCAGCAGTGCTGGAAATTCAATGCTAATGGCAGGGTTGTGCTTCTATGTATGTGTATATATAAGCATCCATCTATGCTGGGCTGTTTTTTGGTATAATGCTACACATACTTTGACCGTNAGTCTGTTCTGTGTACGTTTCAAAGGAGAAATAAAAAAGGCTAACAGATCACGCGTAAACCTCGGTCAACTCCTTCCAAATAAAGAAAGAGTATCGGCTGTGTGAGCCATTCAAAAGGGTATTCGTTANCTTGTTGGGAATTTATATAAATGCTTGTACATCATTGTTCAACACGATGCTTATGATCCACTTGTGTGTGTGCGTGTGTATATATATAATTATTCTTTCTCACTGGAGGATTATATATAAACGTGGATTGATTTGGACACCATAATTTTCCTGTAAATATTATGTTGATTGTATGGCTTTACTGGCTGGACATTTTTTTCCCAGAATTCTCTATGTTTACTTAGTGTTATTTATTTTGTCTTGGCTTGTGTCAGATATATGTTTATTTGGTGTGCTTCCAACATTGCCAATTGCCAATTGCCAAGTTCTATGCTCATATTGTCATGGACCCACTCCTTTGTGTTCTTGAATTCTTGTCTATATTTTATGGGAATTTTTTCAATGGTAAGAAAGCTTGCTGTCAGAAAATGGTGAACTGTTTCAATTTTTTGATTATGTTTCTTTTAGGAGTTGTTTGCAGTATAATGTAATTTGGCTTCTGAGAGAACGCTAACACTGGCTTGGCTAAGCTACAGGCTTCCTTATAGTTTGTTGGTTTTTGGATTTAAGCTGATCAAGGGTCAGTGGGTCAGTTGAAATATTGACCTAGCTCTATGTAGTATGTACTCATTGCCACTGTTACTCCAATTATTGGTTTTCCAGACTTCGCTAGGTATTGCTTCTTCATCCAATCTAGAGCGATTGTATTATGATTTTGTTTGTGATGTTATCTAATAGAATGTTGACATCATGGTGTCAAGTGCCTGTTCACTTGAAAAGGTTTTTTGTTCCTTTTTTGATACTGTGGGTGAAGGTTTTGTAATGTGTTACAATTGTGGTCATTGAGATGAGTGTTGAATGTTGTGAATATGGGCACAATTTTGTTTATTTTGGTTGGACCTTTTTTATTCCAAAATTGTCTTTATGTTTCCTTTTCCACTGCATTTTTATTTATTTAATCTTGGCTTGTGTGCCGTGATATGTTTAATTGGTGTGCTTGTAGCATTGGCAAGTTCTATACTCATCTTGTCTCTCCGTNGTTGAATGTTGTGAATATGGGCAGAATTTTGTTTATTTTGGTTGGACCTTTTTTATTCCAAAATTGTCTTTATGTTTCCTTTTCCACTGCATTTTTATTTATTTAATCTTGGCTTGTGTGACGTGATATGTTTAATTGGTGTGCTTGTAGCATTGGCAAGTTCTATACTCATCTTGTCTCTCCATNATGTTTCTTTTAGGAGTTGTTTGCAGTATAATGTAATTTGGCTTCTGAGAGAACGCTAACACTGGCTTGGCTAAGCTACAGGCTTCCTTATAGTTTGTTGGTTTTTGGATTTAAGCTGATCAAGGGTCAGTGGGTCAGTTGNTTTGATTATGTTTCTTTTAGGAGTTGTTTGCAGTATAATGTAATTTGGCTTCTGAGAGAACGCAAACACTGGCTTGGCTAAGCTACAGGCTTCCTTATAGTTTGTTGGTTTTTGGATTTAAGCTGATCAAGGGTCAGTGGGTCAGTTGAAATATTGACCTAGCTCTATGTAGTATGTACTCATTGCCACTGTTACTCCAATTATTGGTTTTCCAGACTTCGCTAGGTATTGCTTCTTCATCCAATCTAGAGCGATTGTATTATGATTTTGTTTGTGATGTTATCTAATAGAATGTTGACATCATGGTGTCAAGTGCCTGTTCACTTGAAAAGGTTTTTTGTTCCTTTTTTGATACTGTGGGTGAAGGTTTTGTAATGTGTTACAATTGTGGTCATTGAGATGAGTGTTGAATGTTGTGAATATGGGCAGAATTTTGTTTATTTTGGTTGGACCTTTTTTATTCCAAAATTGTCTTTATGTTTCCTTTTCCACTGCATTTTTATTTATTTAATCTTGGCTTGTGTGCCGTGATATGTTTAATTGGTGTGCTTGTAGCATTGGCAAGTTCTATACTCATCTTGTCTCTCCGTTAGGTTCTTGAATTTTTGTCTGTTTGTTATGAGATCAAGTAATTAGATAAGAACCCTGGCAGTCGGAAAAATGGTGAGCTGCTTTAGTTTATTGGCTATGTTTTCTGTTAGGGCTATTATAATGTTAGCTAGTATCAAGATTGTGGAGTTTGGCACCTGAGAGAATTGAAATGTTGGCTAAGCTAAGCCAAGCTACAGGTTTCTTTGTTGGTTTTTGGATTAANGTTTGGCACCTGAGAGAATTGAAATGTTGGCTAAGCTAAGCCAAGCTACAGGTTTCCATGTTGGTTTTTGGATTTANCTATGTTTTCTGTTAGGGCTATTATAATGTTAGCTAGTATCAAGATTGTGGAGTTTGGCACCTGAGAGAATTGAAATGTTGGCTAAGCTAAGCCAAGCTACAGGTTTCTTTGTTGGTTTTTGGATTAAAGTTGTCAAGCTGATCAAGGGTCAATGGGGCAGTTGAAATATTGACTTTGCTCTATGTAGTATGTAGTCATGGCATGGCCACTGCTAGAATGCTAGTCAATATGTCGAGTGCCTGTGGGTGACGGTTTTGTAATGTGTTACAAATTTTGGACATTGAGATGAGGGTTGTGTGTGAATAGGGGCACAATTTTTTTGTGTTTTGAACGTTGACTTGGTGTGATAGAGAACTACTCGAATTCTTGGCACGATTGCAGTTATGTGTGAAACTTTACCAATGTACTGTATCAGACACTGCAATTAGGAGTGAGAAACTCCACAAACAATCGTAGAGATGTGGTGAGTTTGCAGCAGGCCACAAGTTCATCTATTTTTCTGTATTATTATTGAGGTACGAAATTGATGTATAATTTTGTTATAAAACTAGGGTTAAAGTTAAACACACTTAACAATCCTTTAGCTACTGCATCATCAACAAGGGCATTGCTGTTTATTTTATCTTCCCTCTGCACTTCAACATCCTCTTCACTCTACATCATCAACAAATGTGATAGTACATTTGTAAGTGTTTTTATCATTGTTATCAGAATAGTGGTAAAAATATTCATAAATGTAAAAATCACCTATATTAATGGTAAAAACTCTCACAGAAATAATAATTTTTTATAAAAAAATATTAATTTTTATAGAAGTGAATCTGCCATTTCTAGAACATTTTTGGGTCATGGGTAAAAAAAAGTAAATGGTATGGATTCAATCCAGCCATTAACAATTTTNGGTACGAAATTGATGTATAATTTTGTTATAAAACTAGGGTTAAAGTTAAACACACTAAACAATCCTTTAGCTACTGCATCATCAACAAGGGCATTGCTGTTTATTTTATCTTCCCTCTGTACTTCAACATCCTCTTCACTCTACATCATCAACAAATGTGATAGTACATTTGTAAGTGTTTTTATCATTGTTATCAGAATAGTGGTAAAAATATTCATAAATGTAAAAATCACCTATATTAATGGTAAAAACTCTCACAGAAATAATAATTTTTTATAAAAAAATATTAATTTTTATAGAAGTGAATCTGCCATATCTAGAACATTATTGGATCATGGGTAAAAAAAAGTAAATGGTATGGATTCAATCCAGCCATTAACAATTGTCAAAGTTTCGGACATAAAACATTCTGTGTACATCATGTGATACAAATATGGTAATTTTTTGTGTCTCGGATGTTACAATCGATCTATAATCAAATTCTTTATGGAATGATATGATGTTGAAAATTGGCAGATTAAATTACAATGACTTGAATGATTATAAATCAAAGTAAGAACCAGTCGTCACGCTTTAGTACTAATGCCAAGTTTAATCAACCAANAGAAATAATAATTTTTTATAAAAAAATATTAATTTTTATAGAAGTGAATCTGCCATATCTAGAACATTATTGGATCATGGGTAAAAAAAAGTAAATGGTATGGATTCAATCCAGCCATTAACAATTGTCAAAGTTTCGGACATAAAACATTCTGTGTACATCATGTGATACAAATATGGTAATTTTTTGTGTCTCGGATGTTACAATCGATCTATAATCAAATTCTTTATGGAATGATATGATGTTGAAATTTGGCAGATTAAATTACAATGACTTGAATGATTATTAATCAAAGTAAGAACCAGTCGTCACGCTTTAGTACTAATGCCAAGTTTAATCAACCCAAAAAACTAAGGTGGTCTATAACAAAATTAAAAACAGCTAAGAAGAAGATAAAGTAGCAAATGCGAAAGCCATCCACGGACAATGATTCAGTCATAGTCTTAGACACAAGTGTCGCTACAAAACATTATATTCTGGAGTAGTACCAGTACAATCCTAACAGTTAATTCCCAGTGATTCCCGATGTACTTGCTTCTGAAATGAGTTTTTTCCTTATTCTATACGTTGAAGTTTGGTATAGAGCAGTGGAATGGGAATTCAAGACAAACTTCCAGGCAGGATGCATATTATCTTCTATCTCTTGTGGATTTTGATCTTCTGCCTTTTGAGAGTCCTCGATTTCAAAGTGACCAAGTTTAATAATTGCCTCGTTTCTCATTTTCATTATATCAAACAGAACCTGCAATTCAGATGAGCAACACCAAACAATTTTTTATAATTTTTCTGCTGTGAAAAAATATATGGGAAGAAGCTGTAAGTGTGACTATATAATAACTACCTGCTTGGGATTTTCTCTGGACCATATTAGAGATATGTTCTTGACTTCCCACCAGAATGCTTCAAGTATAAAATCTTCAAAGCTCTTTGATGATATGCTTATCACTATTTGGCCTAATGCATCAGTGAGACCATGGAGTAGAGAAGGCTGAAATTCACTCAACCTTTCATGAACCATAAGCATTTTCTGCACATATATACCACGCGGAATTCACAAACTCAGATAAAAATTAAAGGGAAACTAGAGGGAAAAAAAAAAAAGCAGCTAGCTAGAGGAAATATAACAGGCAGTCGAGAGTGAACATGACTTATATAATAACCACAGTCATCAATTAGAAGCTGGCAAGATGGTGATGAATTGCAATTGGTCTAAAACTTCGACCAGTGACTTATTGTGACCTGCCCAAAATGCCATACATACTAAGACTTTGTTCACATGGAAAAGAAAAGAACAAAGATCACTTTACCTGCANGTGATGAATTGCAATTGGTCTAAAACTTCGACCAGTGACTTATTGTGACCTGCCCAGAATGCCATACATACTAAGACTTTGTTCACATGGAAAAGAAAAGAACAAAGATCAATTTACCTGCACATCATCGTGGGCTGCAATTTTAAAATTCTGAGATTGACTTGACTTCATAAGAAGGATTTTCAATTGGGAAAACCAGTCTAAGTCGTCATTTCCAAGCCGGATAATTACATCAACTTTGAGAAGATGTAAAGTGTGTTGTGTCAAAGAGAATCTCACTCTATCAAGAAACCTTAGCTGTATTTTGAGTAGATTTGGAGTGTCAATCTCAAAAAATGACAAGTGATCACAGTATTGCAAATTCAGTTCCTTAAGCTTTTGACTCGAAATCCTGATTCTATTCAAGTATTCGCAAGAAATCACTTGCAAAACCTCGAGGCTGGGGAGTTTAGATATAATATCTTCAAATGTCTCATCAGTGATCCTGGCAACTACCAGTGTTAGTTTTTCAAGAGCTACACAACCAACAAAGCTAATGACTCGTGGTCGCCATCCCAAGCACAGAAAAGACTGAAGATTTGTAGCTGCAATTTCGATATTCCTTATTTCTTTGTTACTGGACAATTCAATATTCTTCAGCGGACACAAACCAGGACTTAGCCAAAGATTTCTGTTCATCCCTTTGCAGTTCTTGATGACCAGATCTTCAATTAGAGGGAACTTGAATTCAAGGTTTGAAAACATATCTTGGTCTAATAAACACACATGTGTTAGAGACAGCTTACGAAGTTGAGAAAGGTTTATGACACAGTTGTTGTCTAATCTGCAATTGTACAGTTTCAGAATTGTAAGAGATTTGGAAGATAGCACTGTCTGAGGCACCCTATACCATATAACAGGATCGGTGTAGACTTCCAAGACTAGCTTTGTGACATTCCTTTCGAGTGCAACGCCTACCCACCTGTCCATGTAAGTGGCTAATGGTTCAAATTTAGGGAAGGAGATCAACAGACTAAACACAGACACATCGAGATTTTGTTGGAAGCGTCGCTGTAGGGACTTATCTACTAGAAAAAGAAACTCTTCAGGGTATCGAATGTAAGAGTCCGGATCTGGTACACTGGACTCAATGTAATGGTCGTAGTTTATGCGTAACTCAAATACTGGGAATGTGAGCCAGATTCGGTTCCATGTCTTAGACAATACAGAGGTACGTGCAACATGTTTTCCTCTAAGAAAAGATAGGATTTTATGATTAAGATGATCAGGCAATTGGGAGATTCGATCCATGAACAATACAGTATCAGGAATTTTGTTATCATCATCTTCCGAATCGTTTCTCTTTTCCTTATTTCCTGTCAACCACACAAGCCATAAACAATTTTATATACATGTATTGACGTATACATATCAGTATAATCATCAGATATTCAAGAATTAGAATAAACAGTAGGAAAGATACCTGTTTGCACCGGGCATAAGTCCATCACTAGTTCTTTAGAGAGTGAAAAATTTTAATTTAGAATTTTTTGTGAATTGAGGGAGAGTATATGAATATATATAGTAAACTTCTCCAAAATCCTAGAAAAGGTAAACGTTAGACCCTAATCATGCAATGCATGGGAAAGTCGACAGAATCTTGAGTACATAGAGTTAGACCTATAATTAATCTTTTAGTTCTATACGGACTCAAACTTTCAATACTAATTGTCATTAGACTCATAACTGAATTCAAACACTTAAAGTAAACAAACACTTTGAATGTGGTTGAAAGCCTTTGACCGTAGATGGGTATAGGTCTTGTATTAATATTTAATGTACAGGTATTTGATTTTACAATGGATACGAATTGTTATACTAGATAGACTAGAGCTCTAGAATGTTTGAAATCCTAAGAATAAGAGATTATATCCAATCATCTGGTAGCTGTTGGTGTTACCACATTATTAAACACTAACGCAGTAGGCCACGTACAACTCGTTTGGTAGACGTATTATGAGAAAATTAAATATTAGATTGTACTATTTTTTATTTAATCGGATTTAATACTTTGTCTAGTAAGAAAATTTGATGCATAGTAACCTAAGGGTATTATGAGAAAATGGTTAATAATACTTTGTACCCTAAAAAAATTCTTAAATTCTTAGTTTATGCCTAAAAAGATTAAAATTCTTATATTACACATTCAATGAGATAAAAAAAAAAGTACGAACGTAATCTAAAATTGAATATTTATTTTCTTTTTTGACAAATCTTTTTGTTATATTTGTCGTGTATTATCTTATTTTTATCTACCATTATTTGCATAATACTCAATTTTAAGTATTTTTAATAANTTATTTTCTTTTTTGACAAATCTTTTTGTTATATTTGTCGTGTATTATCTTATTTTATCTACCATTATTTGCATAATACTCAATTTTAAGTATTTTTAATAAAAAAAAAATTAAACTCAATTTTCCTAAAATAGAGCACATTGCCACCTTTTTTGTTCGATTGAGGGTGCAATATGGAAACTCTAATCTTTCAAGGTATAAGTTGTGAATGTAAAAACCTGTCAGGGAGCAAAGTGTCATTTGACCAAGGGAAAAATTCAAAATCACACTAACAATCCCAAAATTTATGAAATTAAACTTCACCCGCCTCCTCTCTCCCATCACCTCTGCGACTCACTTTCTCAGCCCACAACGCCACTCAGTGCCCCCCAATCGGACTATGAAGCTGCATTTAACAGCTTCGATTTCGTGGTCGGTGGGAGGAGGAGATGGTTCAGATTATGGTGGATTGATTGATATGTGGTTCAGAAATAATCGAGCTTAGGAACTAGTGATAGGGAAGCGTGCTCCCTTGACCGGCTTCGAGCATCTCGTCATTTTTGAGAGGGCTGCGTGCTCCTTACTCATATTTACTCCTCTTCATTCTTTTTTAAGCCAAAGACAATTAGCATTACTTTGCTAAAAGTAGTCGAATACCTTGTATTAAAGCATTGGTATTGATCATGATGGTTCTGGATTTGGGGTTTGTAATGGAAAACGGATCATTTGAAATTTGATGCTGCTTAGCATGGACGGAACTAGTCCGTCAGTGGAGAAAAAGAAGTTACTATTCAGTTAGTGTCAAAAAATTGTGATTTGGCTTTCATCCAATGAGAATGAAAATGGTATCCCTTCTTGTTATCCGATTGCTCTTAAACTTAAAAGTGAACGAACGATCGGATCATGTGGCTGCCACCATGGACCAGAGAACAGTAGTGGCCACTCAAGCTTGTCGAGAACTAATAATTTTAATTTTAAACCTAACAGTTAATCTCAAATTACACCTCAAAAGATCGTTTGAATCTTAATTTGTACCGAAATTTATATCAATGCACTAGCAATTGTCAATTTTTCGTTTAAAATTAAATGAATAAATTACACTTAAACCCCTCATACTTGTCACTTAATTACGTAGACCTCTTACATTTTGAAATATTATACTTACGTCATTTGAGAATCTAAATATGACTAAAAATGTTCTTCTAATTATGAATTCAAATAATTCTGTTTAAGTGATATATTGCAAATATTTGACTTTGAATTAGACTATAGCCATTACATTGCACAAAATCACTCCAATGAAGGATTTGTGAGTCTAGCAAATGAGTCCCTGTGGCGATGCTTCCAGCCAAATTTCAACATGTCCGTATTCAGGATGTGGATCTCTGCCACAATCTCGAAATTGTTTGCCCCTCGCATGGACTTGTGGCTAGGCGCTGCACTTGAAAGGAATGTACAAAAGCTAGTCTTAAAAGTCTCTCTCTATGGGGGACGTTATCGTGCGCCTTCGCTAGTACTGTGTCCAAAATTGCTGAAGATTCTCAAGTTGTACCATTGTACAATTAACCGAAATTGTTACATAAAACTTCCTCAGCTTCGTACATTGAATCTGACCTTAGTTCGTGTCTTAGAAATCTTATGTCCAAAGACTCCAAACTCCCATGCCTTGAAGATTTGAAATTGACTCGTTGCAAGAATTTGGAGAGAATTAAGATTTCAAGTCAAGCGCATCGGACACTCGAGTTGGAATTCTGTGACAACTTAGCATTTGTTGAGATGGACACTACAAATCTACTCTCGATTCATCAAAAGAGCGNATTTGAAATTGACTCGTTGCAAGAATTTGGAGAGAATTAAGATTTCAAGTCAAGCGCATCGGACACTTGAGTTGGAATTCTGTGACAACTTAGCATTTGTTCAGATGGACACTACAAATCTACTCTCGATTCATAAAAAAGAGAGATGAGAAGACACGCTTCTCTATGACACAATGTTTGCATCTACTCGAAGTTCACTTGTATATTCGGCTTCAAAGTCATGACCTTCCTTGGTTTGTTCAATTGAAGAATGTTCTCATGAAGTCGAGTCAATCACAGTTTTAAAATTGTCATCTTCCAAAATGCTGATGAGGTATGTGGTACATAAGTCCATTTATTGTTAGAAAAGAAAAGGTAAATCACCATTGACGACAACGCATATTTCCTACATCTTTCTCCTTTCATACTCATTCAATTGTTGGAAACTATGTGCAGAGAAGCGATACCATAGAGTTTTCTCTTACTATATATAAGTACATCAAGATCACTTTTACGAATCAGTGACTAATCATGATTTTGTTTTTCTGATGAAATTATTGTTTTGCTTAAGGGATTGTAAATTGTTATTTACTTGGTGTTGCTTCACCTGAATTGTAGGTCTTGTTTGAGAAAATGAAAGACAAAAATAAGCTCAGTAGATATGATCACTATGAAATTGAAGATTTTCAAGANAGTGACTAATCTTGATTTTGTTTTTCTGATGAAATTATTGTTTTGCTTAAGGGATTGTAAATTGTTATTTACTTGGTGTTGCTTCACCTGAATTGCAGGTCTTGTTTGAGAAAATGAAAGACAAAAATAAGCTCAGTAGATATGATCACTATGAAATTGAAGATTTTCAAGAGCCGGAATTATGTCTAGATGTTCTTTGTCTTTTAGATTCTGATATATACTACTTATAACTACCCTTCGGTATTGGATACTCTCTATTCTTCTTAAGTATTCTATATTGTTTAAAGATCATTACAGTTTTTCTGGTTGATTAAACTTGGCATTGATTATAAAGTATAACTAGTTCTTACTTTGTCTTTAAATCATTCGATTTCTATAATCGAATCCTCTAACTTCTAGCATTATCTCAACTTGGTCTTGTTAGTTTTTATAAACTCAATTCTTAAAGGGTAGTTTTTGTATTTTTGAGTTTATGATAAGTCATGGTATTTGAAGAGATAGTCACTAGAAGTGTCCAGATTTTTGGAGGTCTGTTCGTGATCTTGGGAGGCCTGTTCATGCATGGCTACATGGGAATTTGAACAGTTTTTTTTCTTGGGGACAGCCGGCCATTGAGTGATCAGATTCAAGGGGTTTTTGGCAAGGAATAATTAGTATAAAAGGGGCTGGACTGTTGCTGCAAAAACAGGATGTTATCTGCAGAAAAAACAGAGAGAAAGATAGTGAAAAAACTGTATTTTGCTGGTAGAAAAACCAGCAGTGTGTGACATGAGCAGAAGCTCTATTCCTTTGTATTTCTTGGGTGTTTGTTGCTGAAAAATTCAGATAAGTTATCTCCTTTGTATTCCTTGATATTGTGATCATTCTTGATGAAATATAAAAGTGTTTCTTGAGTGAAATTGGTGTGAATGTATAGCAGATTTTTTGTCCTTTGTTTTACTTGATTTTGTGTTCCTTTGACAATCAAATTTGCTTCCAACACCCAACAGGTCTATCGTTAGTGCACGTATAGTGGATATTTCTTGAAATAAGACAATTTTTCTACATTGCTGGTTCAAATTCATTTTTAAAATTAAAACTTCAAGAAGAAAGTTCGCAAAGAGAATAAAGCACTCCCATTGATGAATTGCTTACATAATATTACTGATACTACAGATTTAACAATTGCTTCTATAGAACAAAACCTTTTCAAATGTAGACTAATAAAATCCTGCATAAGATCCTCTGTGTCACGAGAATAACTAAGTGGATTAGTCCTAGTATCACTGGAAATAGATTTTAAAACTTGGAACACAAGAACTTAGTTAGGAATTTAAAATAAATGTTGTACTGAATATTGAAAAACAAAAATATCTCATCTCGAGTTGTTATTTTAGGCCTCAAATTACCTCGAGTCTTCCACTCTCACCAAATAATACAAATCCTTTTCATTCTTTGGATTGGTATCATTACAAACCTCCCTGTTCAAGGGGTTTCCATTTTATTCTAAAGGTTGTAACCTTGTACAAAGCAATCAAATGTGACTTTATAAAGAACTTCCATGCAGGATTCATTTCATCTTCGGCCTCTTGAGAATCCTCAAATTCATATTCACGACTTCTAGCAGCCATTTCGATTCCCTGTTGGACCTTATCAAAGAGGACCTGTAATTTAGGTGAATGAATCAAACACCAAATAAGTAGGAAATATTCGAAGAAACTTTTTAATTCTTTTTTTGGGTAATAGAATACGTACCTGTTTTGGATTGCTAATGGACCATGCTACAGAGAGATTCTTGGTATCATACCAAAAGGCTGCTGATACTAATTCCGCTAAGCTCTTTGATGATATACATATGTGTATGTTGCTGAACGCATTCTTGAGATAACGCAGTTTAGAAGGCTGGAATTCACTCAACTTTTCATGAATCATAGTCATCTTCTGCATATATATAGCACGGCAAAGTGAAAATATATCTTGTATTCATTGCTGATTTTCCTGTTCTTTTTAGAAATAAACAGACATTAAGAAACCTTTAAGGAAGAAGGATCAGCATACCTGTTCAAGGGGATGACAGCAACTTTAAAATTGTCTGATTCACTAGATTTCATCAGAAAACTCTTCAGTTCTGCAAACCATTGCAAGTCATTACTTCTTCCAAGCCGGGTAAAGAGGTTAACTTTGATTAGATGCAAAATAACTTGGCTGAATGACAGTAGATTTGGAGTGTCAATCTCAGCAAATAACAAGGAAAAACAACCCGACAACTTCAATTTCTTAAGCTTTGAACTGGAAATCTTGATTTTTGTACAATCTGCTGCAAAAACTCAGTTTCAAAACCTCTAGTTCGGGGAGGTTGGACATAAGATTTTGAAATTTCTCATCAGTGATCCATATAGCCTCTCTCAATTTTAATTCTTTAAGAGCTCCAAAGCTGATCCTATCCCATCGTCGCCTTCCCTCAAACGAAAGGGTACAAAGATGTGGCACTGTAATTTCGATACACTGAACTTCATTATTGTTACTCAAATACCATAGGTCAATATCAACATGCTTCAGTTGTGATAATTCAGGCACCAACCGAAGGTTCTTCAGCCCTTGGCAATTTCTGAGGACTAAATCTTCAATCAAAGGAAAATTGAAGGCAAGATTTGAAAGCATCTTTTCGTCTAATAAGCATACATATCTTAAATCTTGCTTACGAAGTTGAGAAAGTTTTATGTCACAGTTGCTATCTAAAGTACAATCATACAACTCCAAAACAGTAAGCGATTTAGCTGACAACAATATCTGAGGCGGTCTATACTTATAACTTGAATCATCATCAACAGAGATCTTCAGTTCTAGCTTTTGGAGATTGCTTTGAATAGTAGTATCCATCCACCGATCCATGAAAGGGACTGACACTTCAAAGGTGGGGATGTTGATCCACATACCAACTACAGAGACACTGAAACTAAGAAGGAGGCGTCGCCGGAGGGACTCGTCTATTGAATTCAGATACTCTTCCTGGGCTGCCCTGTGGATTTTATCATCTCTTATGCTGGACTTGAGGGATGGATTATCTTCAATGTGATCGTAGTAGAAGTGTAAGTTGAAATCAAATATTGACGCTGAAAGCCAGATTCGATTCCATGCTTTGGATAATACAGAGATACGTGCAAAGTCTTCTAGTTCAAGGAAACATAGGAGGTGATGAAGGAGATGATCAGGCAACAGGGTGATGCGATCCATGGCCATTTAACTATCAGAAGTTTTGTTATTGTCTTCCGAATCTTCTCTATTTTGCTTACTTCCTGTCAATCCATGGCAAACAACCATACACGTTTCCATCGGGAATAAATCCACGGTTAGTTTTGCTTTCAAAAAGCAACACTTCAGGACGAAGGAGCTAGAGAGTTGTTCCCAGAGCGAGTTCTTTAGGGTTTATAATTGATTCTTTATCTTCTAATATTAGGGTTTCTAGAGTGTCTTTCTTTCGAATTTCTTTTCACCCACTATCGATGTTTTCTCCTCTATAATCGCTATATTATTGAAAATAGGTAATAATTAAATAGGATATATTATATTTTGACCCTCCTTAATTGTAAACTCGATTTCACCTCATTTATTATAAATTTTTTAAATTCATTCTTAAAATAGAAAAAAAATAATTATCAAAAAATTAAAAATTATAGAAAGATTATTAAAAAATAAAAAATTGTAATCTAACTGATTAAAATAAAAAGTATGTATGTCTAGAGTCTAAAAAAATTGGTGGAGCTGAAATCAGACTCTCCTATGATTTATAATTAATTTTTCGAATTCTTTCTTAAAATAGTAAAAAAAAATATAGGATTATCAAATAATTAATAATTGCAAAAAAACTATTAAAAAATAAAAATTTAAATCTAACTGATTAAGAAAAAAAGTATATATTGTCTGGAATTTAAAAAAATGGATGGCGCTAGATTTGGACTCTTCTATAAATTATTATTATTTTTTCAAATGCTTTCCTAAAATGAAAAATATGGAATTATCAAAGAATTAAAAATTACACAAAAATTATTAAAAAATAAAAAATTGTAATCTAAGTGATTATTAAAATAAAAAAATATATATTGTCTAAAGTCTAAAGAAATTAGCGTCACTGAATTTGGACTTTCCTATGATTTGTTATTAAATTTTTGAATTTTTTCCTAAAATAGAAAAAAGAGATTATCAATAAATTAAAAATTACACAAAAATTATTAAAAAATAGAAAATTACAATTTAACTGAATAAAATAAAAAATAAGTATTGTCTGAAATCTAAAAAAAAATTGCAGCTCTAAATTCAGACTCTCCTATGATTTATTATTAATTTTTAAAATTATTTCCTAAAATAGAAAAAAAAATGGATTATCAAAACATTAAAAATTACAAAAATAATATTAAAAAATAAGTATTGTCTGGAGTCTAAAAAAATTGACGGTTCTGAATATGGAGTCTACTATAATTTATTATTAATTTTTGAATTCTTTTTTGAAATAGAAAAAAAGGTATTTTCTAAGAATTAAAAATTGTATAAAAATTATAAAAAAAAATTACAATCTAACTGATTAAAATAACAAATACGCATTGTCTAGACTTTAAAAAATATGTATTTGTCTGGAGTCTAGTTCTGTCAAAAAACTTAACAGTACATCTATGTAACGATTAAAATGACACGAATTGAATATTTTAGAAATTAAATTAAAAAATTTAATACAATAAAGATCAAATTAACAAAAAAATACATTAGGGACTAAAAATAACACTAACTCAAGTTTACATTTATTACTCTCACTACAAAAACTTTCTGGTTGAGATTTTTTCGTAGAACTCTCTAGTGGGTAATCTATTTATAGAAGTGTAACCCATCTAGTAAACTAAGATTCTTTTGGACTTCTTATCAAATTAAAAATTTTGTACGATATAGGGTCTTAGAAATAATATTCCAAGTCCAATCGATGAGCTTTTATTTGAATTAGTAAGTTCAATCAGATTTGAGGTTGTCTTGTGAACAAGGGAAAACACAAAATGTAAGTGGTTCACTTTAGTTAAAAGACTGAGGTTACGTCTACTGTAATGGATTCTTTTACTCCTTTAGGTCGTATATTGAGATCAGGTGAGTATGTTCATATTGTTGGCACTGAGCCTTTACTAGGGCTTATGTTTAGTTCGTTGTGTATCTAGGGCTAAGAAATACAGTAGGGAGTCCCCTTTGGTAGGTTGACACTATTCTATTTATACTAGTCCTTCCTTTTAGGGTTCTCAGTGGCTCCCTCTACCTTTCTATTGATTCTGTAAAGTTCATTGTCACTATCCTGCAACAGTCGCTGTCGTTCGATGTTGCTATACCTACGATCTCTAGATCGTTACGCATACCACCACTCTATGTGTCTGAGAAGGTGTAGCTGCCACAGGTGTCAGAGATGGTCTCCCTATCCTTTGGACATGTGGCATGGAAGGGTGCTCTCGAGGCGAGGACTTAGTTTCCCAGGAGGTTATCCTTTGACTAATCGTTGAGTTGGGCCTAGGCTGCGCAGTTGGTCCTCTGGTGGTGTTGGGCTCTCTCCTTTAGGCCTTCTCTATTCTTTGATGTGGGCTGATCAGGGGTTCTACCTTTGGGTTAATAAACAGGCGAGGATTTTTTGGACTTATTGGACTCCGAGGTTATGGCGGACCTTGCCTAAAATTCCGCCCTTATCAATACGAAAACTCGATTGGATTAGGAAACCAGGAGATTATATATATTTATTGTAAATTCCAGGCATAGTTTCAAACTATACAATCTAGTTAGTTTTGCTACTTGTTTTTGCTTCTGATCCCTAACACAAAATCAATGGAAACAGGTATTGTTTTGGTTTGAAACTTATCATCGAGTATTCTATAAATAATGTTTATACGTACATGTATGAAATTTCGTTATGTGTTCTATGATTGACTTGTCGATGTTGATTGACAGATTGTAAGAGAAAGAGAAACGATTTAGAAGATGATGATAACAAAATTTCTGATACTCCGATGGCCGTGGATCGAATCTCTCAACTTCCTGATCATCTGATTTGTGATATTCTATCTTTTCTTCAAACAAAGTATGTTGTACGGACCTCGGTATTGTCCAAGGCATGGAACCACATGTGGCTTTCAGTCCCAATACTCGACTTCAATTTCTGCTACAACCGTTACTGTAACGGTAACATGAAACAAAATCAGTCAGAGGAAGAGTTTCTGAGTCTAGTAGATGAGTCCTTACAACGATACTTCCAACAAAATCTCAAACTGTCCGTATTCAGCTTGTTGATCGCCGCCCCAATCTCGAAATTGTTGGTCCCTCACATGAACCCTTGGCTAGGCGCTGCACTCGAAAGGAATGTCGAAAAGATATTCTTGAAAGTCCCTTTCTCTTCTCCTACTTGGGATCGTGTTCTTGTGTCTAAGCCAGTGTTGTCTTCAACATCGCTTAAAGTTCTGAAGTTGTACAATTGTACGATTGACAGAAATTGTTACATAAAACTTCCTCACCTTCGTTCGATGAATCTAGCTTATGTCCACTTTTTGGACAAAAATATGTTTTCAGATCTTGGCTTCATCGTCCCTCTGATTGAAGATTTGGTGATCAGAAATTGCAAAGGACTAAACAAAAATCTTCGGTTTGTTCCTGGTTTAATGCAGCTGAAGCATGTTGCACTGTACCATAACTATGAAGTCAAGGCTGTCGAAATTACAGCGCCACATCTCCATTCTTTTCGGTACAAGGAGGGATTGAAACCACGCGATATCCGAATTCCGGCTTTTATAGATCTCAAAGTATTAAGACTAGAAAACACTAGGATCACTGCTGAGAAATTTCATAATCTTCTGTCCAAACTCCCTGGACTTGAGGANTGTGCTATAGATCATTCTATGTTTTTTTTTGGTTGATTAAACTTGGCATTAATCCTAAAGTTTAATCCGGTTCTTAATTTGTCAATCGACAACTTCCATAAAAAAAAAACTTGTTTTGATAATATAATGTATTGTGTGAAAGTTGATGTTGATTGGTTTTATACATTTAAAAGTTGGTATTAATCACAGCTCGTTGAGTTGTTGTATTAAATACTTGTAATTGTTCGTACTTAAAGACACTATGTTCCTCGTAAAAAATTGTAAATATTTGTTCATAAATAAAGGCAATGTATATAATATAATTTCAACAATATAACGATCAAATTGACATTATTCAACCTATGTACAAAGATATATAATTAAATTTTTATATAACAAAAATCACATTACAATTACTGCAACATATTAATTCAAGCACGTGAGAAAATATAATTATTATTAATCAAACATCCACGATTTTCAACATTTTTAATAAATTTATCTCAAATTTTCAAAACAATATAACTATTTATTTTTATGTAGGTTTCTACATAAAGTTAATAACATTATCTCTGCAACATTTTTTCAATGTGAGTTCGTCTAACTTTTGTGAGATAATCATCCAAAAGTTTCACGCGAATTCTAGTAAATGGAAAAAAAATTGTTGAAAAATTAAGATCAATTTTTCATTTGAGTTCAACTTGAATATTCGTTAAATTCAATCAAATTTAAGTTTAGTAAGAATTTATATTTTATAATCAATAGTCAAATTCAGCTTAATTCAAGTCTTAATCATAATCACGTCAAACCGAGAATTAAATTTAATTCAACTCAGTTAACACTTCTATCTTAAACTACAAACTAATTTTTATTTATTTTCATTCACAGTGACACCATATTTTTTTTTAATTTAATTTTTATCTAAATACTTATCACTTAATTCATACTTAATATAAATTTTTTTCTGTAAAATTTAAAATTCAAATTTAAATTTCACATCACTATTATTTTTTTCTCCCCTTCCCTCTGAGTATCAAAGGAAGGCAAACGCGCCAGGGGCAACCTTCCAACTCTGATTAGAACGGCACCGCCGGAAACTTGTTGGAAACAGAGCATGGTGAATTCCCACCCATCTTCAAAATTACTTCCTGAAATTGTTTTATTACTCCCACTGTCATTGCCAGTCAATGACGATGGCATCAACGAGCACGATGAAGATGAATCAACCTTCANCAAAACCCATCTTCAAAATTACTTCCTGAAATTGTTTTATTACTCCCACTGTCATTGCCAGTCAATGACGATGGCATCAACGAGCACGATGAAGATGAATCAACCTTCATCACTTTCTTACTCTCGTTACCCTTATCTCTATTACCTCCACAGCTCCTTTTCTTACCTCTCTTGTTAGCCTTCACTCTCTTAACTTTTTTTTGCTAAGAAGTCGATGATTAATTTAATATTGAATATTACTATTTTTTTTGTAGTATGTTATTATTTTGTTTTTGAATATTTTTATTTTTTTTGTTGAGCATGTTACTATTTTATTAAACATGTTACTCATATTATTTTTTTAAATATTAATATTCAATGTTATTATCTTAACATTTTGAATGTTATTATTATTTTTATTTAAATATTATTAATTTTTTTATATTTAAATGTTACTATTTTTTATTTTTAATATCACTATATAAATTTACTAGTAATTGTACGTGACTGAAGGTATTACGTTACTAATAAAAAACTATAAATATTTTTTCATAAATAAATGCAATATATAATACAATTTCAATTATACAACGGCCAAATTGATATTATTCAACCTATATGTAGAACATATAAAATCAAATAATTATATAACGAAAGTCATGCTATAATTACTGTAATATATTAATTCAAAAATTTGAGAGAAAATAATTATTATTGATTAAACATCCACAATTTTAATATTTTTAATAAAATTTATCTCAAATTTTAAAAAAATATAACTATTTGTTTTTTTATATGTTTCTACTTAAAATTCATAACATTATCTACGCAACATTTTTTCAATGGGAGTTCGTGTAACTTTTGTGAGGAAAACATGCAAAAGTTTCACTTGAATTGTCATAAATATAAAAATTTTGTTGAGAAATTAAAATTAGTTTCAATTTGAGTTCAACTTAAATATTCGTAAAATTCAATCGAATTTAAGTTTGGGTGGGCTATTCCCATTTCATAAATCTTCATTCCAACCCCATTTAATTTTTCATTATCAAATTATTAAGTTCACTCATTTTATACACACCTCATCAGTAACTAAGTTCACCTCATGCTATATACATCTCATTTAATATGTAAACTCACCTTATATTTTGTCATAATTAAGGTTTCATTCTCTATTTTATCTCATGCACTCACATAAATACTTTTTCAATATGAATTTTTTCAGTAAAATACATATTAGTATTACTTCTCAATTTAATTCTATATTTGATTTCATTTTTGTTGTATGAATTTTTATTATGCTCGGTATATTTTGATATCCTTGTCAAGTTTAATAATTTTTTATCTAAAATTTATATGTGTGTATTTATATGTATGCTTTCAGATTATTTGTTCTTTTTTTTTTATCTTGTTTAGGTTTTGCATCTATGTTTGTTATTTTTTTTTTTTGGTTCAATTTTTGTGTTTGTGTTTGATTTTTTTTTCATATCCAATTTTACGTCTTGTGGTTTTGTTTGTTACTTTAATCTTTACTTGATTTTTTTTTCCTTCTTGTTTTGATTTAATTCTTTTTTTTTTCCTTGTTTCATTTTTTTCTTTTAAATGGGGTGTATGTAACATATGATGAGCTTAATTAATAATGTAGTGAATATGAAAAGGATGAACTTAGTAGTTTGATAATAAAAAATTAAATGTAGTGAGAATAGAGATTTTGGAGAGTGAGAATAGCCCCCCACCCTTTAAGTTGAAACAAAAATTTATATTTTATACTCGACAGTTAAATTCAACTCAATTCAAGACTTAACTATAATTATGTTAAACCGAGAATTGAATTTAACATCGACTCAATTAATACTTCTATCTTAAAGCCATAAACTAATTCTTATCTATTCCGGTTCATTAAGACGCCATAACTTCTTTTTTTTTTTTTTAATTTAGTTATTCTTTATTACTTTTACAATCAATTTTAATATTTGACTTTAACTTGAATACTCAAAAAATTCAAGGAAAGATAAGTTTAAGCAAGAATATATACTTTATACTCGACAATTAAATTCAGCTCAATTTAAATCTTAATCATAATCACTTTAAACCAGTAATCGTATAAAATAAAAGAATTCTTATAATTTTTGGGAGTAAAAAATTTTGAAGGAGGAATTTTGATCGTTTGATCAATAATCTTAAAACAATTTGAACTGTAAAAAATTCAAGACAAATAATGCTAACTCCTTTAGTAGATAGATGTATCACAAATTACATATATATTATTCATCTATTATAGTATTTTTATTTAAATACAAAATATGACCTATATTATATTCATTCGACTCATTTTAACGCAAAGAATCTATATTTAAGGTCCATTTATTTATTTAAATTTTTTAAAAATAATTTTTAATTAAAATCATAATTAACAACCTAATTAATGTGTAATATGTGATAGAGAGAAATAGAGAGTTATAAGAGTAATAGAAGTTTTAGAATTGTAAAAGGAATGAAAGTCTTGCTCAAAAAATTAGGGGGAGAATGTCATATTAGAACCGTTGGATCAATATTTTTTCAAGTGATCTGAACCGTGAAAAACTAAAGATAAAAAAATTTAATTACTTTATTATATAGATGAGAAAGAGAGAGAAATAGTCTGAAAATATCTATATCTATATCTAATTTATACTACTTATAAATGTCAGCTTCTGCAAAAAAAAATTGATTTCTTATTTTATCCTTAATTATTATAATAAAGTCAATTATACTCCCCTATATACTTTCATCTATTTTTTAACACTTATTTGACGTTCAACTTGTTTTGAATTCATTTATACGGATTTTTAAATTCTTTTAAACTCATTTATTAATAGTATAGTTACATATAATTATCAAAATATATCTATATTTATATGAAGAAATAAAATTCAATCTATATCATATTATTCTACAGTCCAATATATGTTATAGTTAATTTTTTGGTATACAATAATATCATATTATTACAATACAAACAATAGTATTAAAATTTAATCAATTTATTTGATAAAATATATAATAAATTTATAATATAATTACAATAAAGATTCATATAAACAAAAAAAAAAAAAAAAAAACCAAGGAGGCAGAAAGATACCTAAACAAATAATAGATTAGATACTCAAAGAGGGATAAAATAAATTAATAATTAGGTTTGATAATAGTTAAAATAAAAATTAATTAAAACTACATAATTTATTATTTGATTTAATTGCACATATAATTTTAATTTTTGTGTAAAAAATATTATTTAAATATATTCACGTACAGCGCACAGTATGCATTGTTAGTATCTATATAATAAAACACATAATAATTTGAATTTTTATCCCTTACATATTTTTACCTTTAAATGCGTTACATCATTTATTTCTATCACATGTTTAATTATTTACATATTTTTTCTATAAAAATATCACTTCACTCATTTCTATCATATATTTAATTATTTAATATTTGATTAATTTGTAATTAATATAATTTTTATTTCAAGCATTATTCATATACGATAGTATACACATGTTAAAAAAATTTAATATAGTGAGGTCGATTTTTTTGATGCTCGAATTTTATATTTTATCGTGTCTTCATGCACGAGTTATGACTAGCATATGAATAAGTTAGCTAGGTGTTTGAAATTTAATTTCTACACATTTTTCCCCTCAAAAATATCATATCATCCATTTTTATCACATATCATTGAGTATTTTAATTAATTTGTAATTTAACACAATTTTTATTGTAGGCATTGTGCATACGTGATAGTGTACACATGCTGAAATTTTTTATCAAATTACGTATTTTGAAAAATTTTGTTGTTTTTTTGAAGAAAATAATAGGTAAAATTAATTTTAAATGATGTAATCAAATAAATGAAAGAAAGAAAAATTATTATTCAATATAATGAGATCAATTTTTTTAGCACATGTTATATATATATATATATATATATATATATAACTGTTCTTGGAAAGGGTGAGCAACTTCTATATAATCTATACAATAAAAAATATAAGAAGTTGAATTTTATCCTCTATATATTTCCCCCCTTCTATATAATTTATACAATAAAAAATATAAGAAGTTGAATTTTATCTTCTATATATTTTNTTTTTTAAAAAAAAAAATAATAAATTTTGAATGATGTAATCAAATAAATTATGGAAAGAAAAAATTATTATTTAATATAATAAGATTAATTTTTTGGGGCTCGAATTTTATGTTTTATCGAGTTATGAGTCTTATGACTAGTAAATAGATATGAGAGAGAAAGAGATAGTTTTTATATTATTCAAATTTCTAAAATTTAGTATTTGTTTGACAAACTCTTAAAATTTGAGTTGGTAGTTTTTAAATTTATATTAATTAAATTTAACTATTGAAAGTATTTTAGTTAATAAAAATTAAAATGAACTTAATATCAAATAAATTTATTTGATGGACTTATAACTAAATAAGTCCACAAAAAAAAAAAAGGACCGCCTGTCAAATCTTCCCCAAATAAAACCGTCGTAAACCCGCAAGACCCGATAGTTTAACATACCGAATATGAGATGTCCCTGTAATGATNCAAAAAAAAAAAGGACCGCCTTTCAAATCTCCCCCAAAAAAAACCGTCGTAAACCCGCAAGACCCGATAGTTTAACATACCGAATATGAGATGTCACTGTAATGATAGGGGATGTCACTGTAATATTCCCCCGGTTCAACATACCGGATAGGGGATGTCACTGTAATGATTGGACATGGGGAGTTTCTCTATTCCATAGTATAGTTCCTCTTTTCTGCTTAAATAAGGTCATTACAGATTTTCAACTCCAAATGATTGTTTTAAAAATATTATATTTATTTCAAATATTTCTTGAAATAAGATAGTATTTTTTATATTGATAGTTTATATTTATTTTTAAAATTAAAAGTTCTAGATAAAATTTTACAAATATTATAAAACACTCCAATTGGTGCATTACCTACGTATTATTACTCATCATAGATTTAACAATTGTTTTTGCAGAAAATTTTTACACATATAAAATCCTGTTTAAAATCTACTATATCACAATAATAACTAAGTGGATCACTCATGCTATCACTTAAAATGTATCATTTAAAATTGTCGTTTTACATGTCAAATTGTCTTGAGTGTAGAGTTGATAATAGGACTCGAATCTGAAAGGATAATTTTTGCTTGTTTTTAGGTGTTTATTGAGTCTAGTTTACTCAGTCTTGCTTCTGTTAAATAAATCCCTAGTCTTTAGGATTAGTTGAGATTTTAGCTAAAATGTGAACTTTATTTCAGCTGGTCTGTTAAGTACTGTAAGGCTATATATATAGCCAAGTTTGTTCAATAAAAATGTGAGTCATTCATCCAGAATATCTTTGAGTTTTATTGTTTACCTCATCAGAGCTTCCCAACATAATCAAGTTCGACTCATGTTTTAAACATGAGTCGAGTTTGAATAATTTTTTAAATCTATTTAAAAAATGAGTCTACAAAGTTTGATTTGAGCTTACAAGTCCGATTCATTTATATATAAAATAATCAAGTTACTCGTATTCTATTCAAATTCGGTTTGTTTTTTTAAACGAATCGAACTTGAATAATTTTTTTCAACTCTTTTAAAAAAAAAAAAAAAACTCGATAAGCTCAATTGAATTATCAGCCCTACTTGAGCCGCCGTGTATTGAAGGAAATATATCATTCATATATATATATATATATATATTGGACGAAAATGAATGGAGAGAGTATAACTGGAAAATAAAAGATAATATGGTCTCTAAAAATAAATTAGTTCTCAATAATTAACACAGTGGATAATTCAGCACAATAGGTTCAAAAAATACACGTATTCTTTAGGTATGTTTATTTAAAAAAAAGAAGAATTACACTTAGATCTCTTAAAGATTGTTATTTAATCATTTTGACCCACAATATTTAAAATATTACATATAAATCTCTTAAAGTTTATACGCGTAACACTTAGACTTTGTCGTCAATGCTGTTAATAAATTATACTCAGACCCCTTAAAATTTGTAAGTATATAATACTTATATCCCTCAAGTTTAAAATATTATATTTATATCAAAAATATTTCAATTAAAGGTAGAATATAAAATATTTTAAATTTTATAACAAAAATTCATTATCTATTGCATCATTTATTGAAATAAAATCAAAAACAAAGCTAATTTTTTTTAAAAAAATCATAATTAGTATTCAATTATGTCAAGAGGTCTGAATGATTAAACGATAAATCTCAAAAAATTTCAGTGTAATTCTCCCTTCAAAAAAAAACCCAGCTGATCAACCAGAAAATCCGACAACTCATTGCCTAGACCGGTCTGAGTTACTACTTGGACCATTTAAGTAAAAACCCGCCCAAAACCGGTACTTTGGGTTTGAACTAAATCCGTGTGAATCGAATAGTAATTGTGAAACCGGACGGATTAGATCTACTCTATAAAATCGAAAATTCTGAGCCATAAAACTCACTCTCTCCTCCTCTGTCTTCGTCTTTCTCTGCGACTCACTTACCTCGCCGCCATCGTCTTCACTATCTCAACACAACCCTCAGACCACGATCTGGTGGACACAGCAAGCCAGGTATTTGATTTACTCTCTATCACTTTTCCTCTTTGTGGAACTTCTTCGAAATTTAACCGAAAAGGCCTTTTCGATCTCTATAATCAGAGTACTACTGCTTCTATCTGTGTTTATTGATATGCGTACAATTGCTGGTATGAAACTACGCATCTGACTATCTTGACTTGCGCATGTGATCTCTTTATTCTTCTTTTTTATTATTTAATGACTATTTGTCTTTCGGATCTCTTTTTAGTGGACACAATGGATCTCCACGTGCCGTTGGCGTTGATTTGTGTATTTTCTACTCCTTGAATTCCTCTTCTTTATATAATTATTTTTGCAATAATAATGATGTTAGCAGTTATTTTTAAATTTTTAATGTATGACCGGTCCGATTGATTAACCCATAATAACTGTGCTAATAATCATAGTACTTGAAATCTTGCTCAGTTATATTTCCGAGTTGTTTTAGGATTAGAATTAGAGGTGTGACAAGAATTTCCCTTGAATGGTTAGGGACTAATGTTTTAGCCAGAACTCTCGTGGGAAATTGTTTCTAAATGTCTAAACCAATTACAATTAGTATAAGATTCTTTGAAACATCTAATCAAATTAGAAAATTTTTATGGAAATTCGATTGGGTTAGGAAACTATGGGCGTATATACATTGTGAAACCTAGGCAAAGTTTCAAACCATGCGATTGTTTCTTCTGTCCAGTTAGTTTTTCTCCTTTTTTTCAGTTGTGATTTCTAACACAGATCAAGGGAGAAAAACGGCTGCTATAAACTGGAACGTGCATTGGTAACAGCTATATTCTTCTTGAATTCCTGGAAGTTAAGCTAATTATACGTCCTTACTCGATGGAAACAGGTATTTTTCTGATTGTTTATTCTGATTCCTTAGGATATATACTGTAGATAATGGTGATATAATCATGGGTGCATAAAATTCTGTATATGGCTTCTCTGATTGATTGGTCGCCATTTATTTACAGAAAGTAAGCAAAAGAGGAAAGGTTCTGAAGAGGATGGCAAAATTCGTCTTACTCCAATGGATCCCATCTCTCAACTGTCTGATCATCTCATTCATAAAGTCCTATCTTTCCTTGAAACAAAATATGCTGCACGGACCTCTGTGTTGTCCAAGGCATGGAACCGCATCTGGCTTACATTCCCAATAATCAACATCAACGTACACTACAACCATTACATTCAAAACAATCACCTCCTTGAGTCCTCCCAGGAAGAGTTTCTGAGTCTAGTAGATGAGTCACTGCAGCGACGCTTCCAAGAAAACTTCAGTGTGTCTGTATTTAGTATGTTGATCTCCCTCCCAAGCTTGGAATTGGTAGCCCCTCACATGGACTGGTGGCTAGGCATTGCACTTGAAAGGAATGTCCAAAAAATGGTCTTGATATTCTGTACCGATGCCCATAGACTGTATCATGTTCGTGTGCCTCATGCAGTCATGTCTGCAACATCGCTCAATGTTCTGGAGTTGCAAAATTGTACAGTAGACGGAAATTGTAACATAAAACTCCCTCAACTTTGCATGTTGACTCTAAGATATGTCCGCCTATTAGATGAAAAGATGCTTTCAGATCTTTCCTTCAACTTCCCTATCATTGAAGATTTGGTCATCAGATCCAGCAAAGGACTCAACAGCGATATTGATATTGATGTCGGCCTCGCTGCTTTTATTGGTCTCAAAGTATTAAAACTGCAAGATGCCATGATCACCGATGAGAAATTTCAAAATCTTATGTCCAAACTCCCATGCNCTATACATTGTGAAACCTAGGCAAAGTTTCAAACCATGCGATTGTTTCTTCTGTCCAATTAGTTTTTCTCCTTTTTTTCAGTTGTGATTTCTAACACAGATCAAGGGAGAAAAACGGCTGCTATAAACTGGAACGTGCATTGGTAACAGCTATATTCTTCTTGAATTCCTGGAAGTTAAGCTAATTATACGTCCTTACTCGATGGAAACAGGTATTTTTCTGATTGTTTATTCTGATTCCTTAGGATATATACTGTAGATAATGGTGATATAATCATGGGTGCATAAAATTCTGTATATGGCTTCTCTGATTGATTGGTCGCCATTTATTTACAGAAAGTAAGCAAAAGAGGAAAGGTTCTGAAGAGGATGGCAAAATTCGTCTTACTCCAATGGATCCCATCTCTCAACTGTCTGATCATCTCATTCATAAAGTCCTATCTTTCCTTGAAACAAAATATGCTGCACGGACCTCTGTGTTGTCCAAGGCATGGAACCGCATCTGGCTTACATTCCCAATAATCAACATCAACGTACACTACAACCATTACATTCAAAACAATCACCTCCTTGAGTCCTCCCAGGAAGAGTTTCTGAGTCTAGTAGATGAGTCACTGCAGCGACGCTTCCAAGAAAACTTCAGTGTGTCTGTATTTAGTATGTTGATCTCCCTCCCAAGCTTGGAATTGGTAGCCCCTCACATGGACTGGTGGCTAGGCATTGCACTTGAAAGGAATGTCCAAAAAATGGTCTTGATATTCTGTACCGATGCCCATAGACTGTATCATGTTCGTGTGCCTCATGCAGTCATGTCTGCAACATCGCTCAATGTTCTGGAGTTGCAAAATTGTACAGTAGACGGAAATTGTAACATAAAACTCCCTCAACTTTGCATGTTGACTCTAAGATATGTCCGCCTATTAGATGAAAAGATGCTTTCAGATCTTTCCTTCAACTTCCCTATCATTGAAGATTTGGTCATCAGATCCAGCAAAGGACTCAACAGCGATATTGATATTGATGTCGGCCTCGCTGCTTTTATTGGTCTCAAAGTATTAAAACTGCAAGATGCCATGATCACCGATGAGAAATTTCAAAATCTTATGTCCAAACTCCCATGCCTTGAGGATTTGGAATTGATTTGGTGCGGAAGTTTGAATAGAATTAGGATTTCAAGTCAAAAAAGGCCTTCAGAAACTGAAGTTGGAATTCTGTAATAACTTGTCATTTGTTGAGATTGACACTCCAAATCTGCTCTCAATTCACCAAAAGTGTGATGAAAAAACACGCTTCTCTTTGACAGAGTGTTTGAGTCTACACAAAGTTGACCTTTGTATCTGGCTTCAAAGTGATGACCTTCATTGGTTCACCCAATTAAAGAATGTTCTTATGCAATCAAATCAATCACAGAGTTTTAAAATTGCCTTCTTCCAAAATTCAGAGGTATGCTGATCTTTCTTGTTTTTCAGTTTTTGCTACATGTCTATTCATCGATGACATGCATTTCCTCTATTTTTCCCCTTTCAGTGTCATTCAATTTTCAGAAACTCTGTGCAGGAAAGGATTATGATTCATCAAAATTTGAGTGAATTCACACCTACTTCACTGTGCCGTCTCATGGATGTGTCCCACCATATTCTGATGTACATATCAAATAGCTTTGAAAATGTGCAAAATGAAGCCTTTTCCTGGCGAACCACGAATCTGTGGGTGGTATGGTCCATAGGCAATTATCCCAAACAGGTATTTGTTCTATTAGCCAACTAGATGTATTACAGTTTCTTACTATACTTCCAAGTAGAAATTTTTAGGTCATGCATATTTTTGCATATTTTAATTTTTGCTTATCCAGAATTGCTCCCTTCTTCTAGCCATGATTACATGTGTAATAGTGTACATACATATACATCTATACTAGTATATTGTTTATGTCTAAGATAGATCTGAATTACTTTTCCGAGGCAAGTACTAAACAAGATTTTACTTTTTTGACAATTTTTTTTTTTTTATGAAGAAACGGTAAATTAATATTTTATTTGTTGTTGCTTCACCTGAATTGCAGGCCGTGGTTGAGATAATCAAAAAGAAAAACAAGCACATTACTGGATATGGTCACTATGAAATTGAGGATTCTCTGGAGGCAGAATACAAAAATCCTCAAGAATCAGAAAACCAAGGGGATGCCTGGAAGGTCTTTGTAAATTCACAATCGACTGCTTTGCACGAGATTACTACATTCAGACTGAAATGGGAACCCCAGCCGATACATTAACTGTGAGGTTCAAATTTATGCCAATCCGGCAAACAAATATTATTTATATTTAAACTTATATATAATCTAGGGCTATGCTGAATTATTGTCCTTGATGGCTGTCTCACTTGATACTCTTTTCTTCTTCTTTACTATTTCACATTGTGTTATAGATCACTCTAGGTTTTTGGTTGATGAAACTTGGCATTACTCTTGAAGTTTAATCCGGTTCTTACTTGGCTTCTAGTCATTCCATTTCTGTTAATTTAATCCTCTAACTTCCAGCGATACGTCTGTGGCACGAAAAATTCCATGTTTGTGTGCATGCGCAATATTTACTATCCAAAATTTTGTTTATCGAAATCAAATGGATGGGATTGATGCCATGTTAAATTCTCCTGTGGATTTGATACACTGACAAAGTTATAGGACAGGATTGAATCGCTGCAATTAAATGATCAGGGGCTGAACTGAGAATCACAACAAACTTTAGGATCTCTATTTTCATATTTGAGTTATGCAGATATGAACCCGATAGTAAATTAGTGGGTAATAATTGGTTAGTTTTCAATACGAACTCAAAAATAACTCAATCCACAGACATATATGAGTCAGGTCTGTGTCAAACACAAATAACCCTATTTTGACATCAAAAACCCCTATAAGTAGCATTGTACAAAGAGAATGTCTAGTTTTGTTATCGTTTCTTGATTTTAGTACTGCATGAATTCTTGTAGAATAAATTTTTTTGATTAAAGTAATTTAGCTTGCATATGAATTTTCAGTTTCTATAGACTTATGGGTGGTTGATTTGGTTGAGACCCAAATAGGTTCGTTCTTAAGTTATGTGGGTCAACTCAAACACGACTTAGTTAATAAATTAATTGAATTACTGTCAAGATATCGTGCACGATTAATCAAAAATGTAGGGATAGTATTAATTAGTACTCAACACAAAGTAAAATCAGTAGTGATTATTTTTACCATACATATGCTTGAATTGACTCAAAACAGATTATGATGGATGCAACATGAAATCCTATGTAGAAGCTTTAGTGGCCTTAGCTTTAGGAGCTTGTTCACCATCTTTTGAAGCCAAAGATACAGAGCTGGTCAGTTTTTTAAGCTTCTGTTGGACCCTTTGAAAGAGTCTTGGTGTTTGGACACGAGATAAACGGAATCCAATTGCATCCAAATACCAACCACTTCTCCCCATAAACCCAACAATTTTGCCTCCATCCATGGAAAATGAAAATGGTATTCCTTCTTCCACTCCAAACGGCCCAAACGTTCTTCGGTTGCTCTTGAAAGTCAGTGATCGGATCACCGGGCTGCCGCCATGGACCACCGGACAGTAGTGGCCACTCATGCTTGTCAAGAATTCCTCTGGAAATTGCAGCTTGATCTATAATGCATAGAACAGCAATGATAGTAAGTACTTGATGCGAATTGAAATTGTAAGTTTGTTAAATGGTTCAAGCTCGGGTTCGGTTTTGGCTTCTAAAAAAAATTTTGACAGATTTTTAAAATCCTCCCGTAAATGAGTCAAATCCGAGTAAGATATGACTCGGTTCGGGTCAATAGGTTTCTGTCTAAAAATAATATCGTTAAAAGACCTTTATTTGAAAGGTAACATTAAAAATTTATCATATACACTTTTTCCACTATCTTCTATAAATAAATTTTTGAGAAATTTAAATTTCTAGTGTTTTATTTTATGATGGAATGCAAGTTTCTGCTGAATACAAAGCATGACTAAGAATCTAAGCTTGACAGTTGAGCTCAAGAGTTTAGGATCAAGCTCAGTTAGTTATAACTGAATCAAATTTAAGCATACTAAAACTTGACTAAATCCACTCGATAAAATTGTAATCAATAAAATTCATGCATAAACTGGTTCAGACATTCTTGACAGTTGAATCAAAAAAAAAATATCGAAGATCAAAATATCAACAGTTTTCTCAGCTTTGACATGCCCTCCTGAAAGTCAGCTCTTTCTTTGATCACTACATCATGAGTGTTGTTTCTTGGCCCTATATTACTAGACTAAGATAAAACAGGAAGAAACTAACAAGAAATGAATCTCAAGCTTACCTCAGCTGTTTTACTGCCCCCTACACCTCCATGTTTTTCTGATGAAACAGGCTTACCATTCTTATCATACACCAACCGGATCGAATCGATACAACGGTCATAAACCAGTGTGATCTCTCTCACTCCACTGTAAATGCCATCGTCCCAGTTAGTCCCACCATTACCTCCCCATGTACCAACAATTATGCTTTTCTTTTTGACACCACTCTCATCCTTCCCACCTTCCTGCAAACATTAACATACCAACAACATACATCAGGGTTAACAATTCCTTTAGGAAACTGACTTGGAGATTATCAATTTGTAGCCAAAAAGAAAAAAGAATTGAAAAAACCCTCAAGACTGTCCAATTAACTGAAGTTTTTTATGTGTTCGAATATCACCGTCACCTTAATTATTACAAAGATTTTAACGTGTTGAGTCCAAAATCTAGGCATGCACACGAGGGGAGCGTGTTGAAGTATTAATTTAAACTTTTGGAGTAGACAATTGTTTAACAATTTTGTTTGCCAAAAACAAACTCGGGTGGATATATCCAAATTATGGGGTGAAAAAAACTTGTTCCGCAGTGGAGCGATATGATTTTGGGATGGATATATATTTTCCAAAATAAAACTAACAAGAGCAGTCACAATTGTCAAAAAAACTGTTAAATATGGGGGAGAAACAGAAAATAAGATTTAATACAGGTGAAAATTTAAAAAGATGGAAGAGTTTCATACCATATATGCTGAAGCAAGAAAGTGTGAAGAGAGATGCTTAGAGATGAAGTGATGCAACAATGTGTAAATTATAGGATATGACTATCAAATGTGTGAGGAACTGGAAGTGGGAGGGAGATGCTGATATAGAGAGAGAGCAAAAGAAAGTGAGTTTGTTATTACAGCATCTGATTCCATTTATGGCACTATCCAGGAATTTTGCTTTTTCATTTGTATGTAAGCAATTTGATACCACATTGGTGGTGCAAATTCATTAATAAAGGAACATCAATTGATATTAAAGCTTTCCTAAAACAAATAATTCTTGGCCACAACTCGACACGAAGTTTTGTGGAAAAATTAATAAGAACCTATTCGATTCAAAAAGGCACAAGATAATAGGCTATGCTCTCCCGTCACTTAAATTAGTTCTTATTTTAAATTCAGATCTCCGACGGATATTTCCAAAGAACATTAGGCCAAGATTCCAGGAAAAAAATATATATTTTTACTTCAAACCCTTTTTTTGACCTTTGATTTTAAAACCCCCTATAAAGATATCAATTAACCTGAAAGCATCTGCTCACAAATTTTATTCCATTGGATATAGACAAAGTAAATATATTTTTTTATATTAAAAAAACCAAAAAATTAAATTTTCAAATTTTTGTATAATTCAAGTTTTTTTTTTTTGAACAATCAGACATCATCCATATTTCATTAAGTAGGAAAGTTTTGGTTATAATCAGCCAAAAGAAAAACCTTAAGCTCAGAGGAAGGGGGGGCAGGGGGAGCCAACCCAATCCAACGAGAGAGAACTGTTTAATTTAGCGGCTGCAAGCAGCCTTGTTGTGGGCCCTAGACTTGTGTAAAAAGCTAAAATTATGTACCCTAGCTAATTGTCTAATATCACTCATAATGACATTGATTTCCCACAGGGGGACGTCTTCATTGGAGCTAAGCTTGATGATGTTCAGACAATCATTCATAATTGTTGCATTGGTGGTCAGTTGCGCTTCAGTAAGGATGCATGCTTGTCTAACAGCCTCAGCTTCAGCCAAGATACTTGAACATGTGGGAAAGGATTTAACATTGCCAAACACAAAGGAACCCCTTTCCTTCCAAGCCACTACACTTCAAGCAACCTTATCAGACCTTGGATTGAAGGCTCCATCGCAGCTTATCAGGGTCACAACATCAACATCTTGTCTACCCGCGTCACTCGTCTATGATTCCTTCTATACGTTCAGTCCCTCCTCGTTAACAAACATAAGCAAATCATTCCACATCCCTTTGGCCTTGATGACAGTGACAAAGGCATCTACCACTTCCCTATTGAAGATAAAATTATTCCTCGCCTTCCAGATGGCCTACCCACAATGGCAAACTTCCCCAAGACATCAAGACCGCCCTGACCCTTTCTAACCAATTGTAATAACAAAGAGGATCTACTAGCCACCGACAAAAAGGGAGAGTCCCCCCATTAGAAGGAGAGATCCATACCAAACCAAACTCTATTGGTCCAATCACATTCGAACAAAAGATGCTCAATGGATTCAGGGGCTGAGAGGCATATTTGACAAAGCGGGATGATGCACATTTCCTCTTGAAAATATTTTCGTGTGTGGCCAGGGTATTGTGGCATGCTTTCCACCAGAAATGCTTCACCTTCGACACAGCTTTCATGTTCCAAATACTCCTCAAGAGACTAGAATGGACAAAGGTAGAAGAGCTGGCCGTCTGTGTGTCCAATGCAATCTTATTCCCCATTCTATATCATGTCTACATAGTAAAAGCACCCTTCCTATTTGGCCACCAGATTCTTCTATCATCACCCCCACTTAATGGAAGTGGGATGGTCTGGATTGCATTCACTTCATCTCTAGATATAGCATTAGAAAGACAAAAGGTGTTTCATCTTTTGGGATTCTCCATAATGATGTATGCCACCTTCATAATAGCAATATTATGGGGCTTCAGAGATTGTAAAGCCAAATTTGGGAGTCGAGGGATCCATCTATCCTCCCAGAACAGAACATTCTTACTGTCACTAATCTGTCACATGATGCCTTGATTTAGTAGTTCTCTTCCATAAAGTAAGCTCCTCCAAACCCATGAGGGTCTAGTGCCACACTTCGCCTTCATGAAGTCCACCTCATGGATGTAAATCGCCTTCATAAACTTAGCCCAAAAGGACTCAGGTTAGGTAATCAATCTCCAACACTGTTTAGCCAAAAGGGACTGATTAAGGAGTTTGAAATCCTTGAATCCCATCCCTCCATCAGCCTAAGGTTCAATCATTTTATCCCATTTCCTCCAACAAATGCCACTGCTCTTATCATAACCCCTCCACCAAAAGTTCCTAACATAGCTATTCAATTTCTCGCATAAATTCTTAGGAAATGCCACCACAGACATCGCGTCGTTGGGAATGGCTTGAATGACTACCTTAATCAGGACCTCCTTACCCGCTTGTGAAAGACATGTGATTTTCCATCCTTGAAGCATCTTCGCTACTCTCTCGAGCAAATAACCAAACATCTCCTTCTTTGAGCGTTCCCAAACTATTAAAATTCCTAAGTACTTAGCACAATGGGGGAGGGGCTGCATCCCCAGAAACTGGCAGATGGAAGATTTTTGTTCTTCTAGTGTATTGCTGGAGAAAATGATCCCAGATTTTTGGTGATTCACACACTGTCCCGAAGCCACATAGTAGCATTGCAATATCCTCAACAACTCCTCTAAACCCCCCTTGCTTTGATGAAAAATAGTGAATCATGAGCGAAGAAAAGGTGGGAGACGGTAGGACTTCTCGTTTTGATTTTGAGTGCCGCCTGCCTTCTATCTTCGACACCTTTCAATAACATAGATGAAAGAACATCTGCTACAAGTATAAATAGATACGAGGAGAATGGATCACCTTGTCTAATACCCCTTTGTGGACAGAGCTTGCAACTGTAATCCCCATTCAAAACAAACTGTAGCGACATTGTACTAACACACTGCAGTATCAGCCCCACCCACCGTCTGTCAAAGCCCATTTTTAACATTGTTGCCTCCAGAAAATCCCTTTCAACTCTGTCATATGCATGTCCATTTTAATTGCCAATTTCAGAATCTTGCCCTTTTTTTTGCCTTTCTGTTGGTGGAATAACTCATTTGTGATACCAATAGTGTCTTGGATAAGCCTGTTGGGAATAAAGGCAGCCTGGTTAGAGGAGACAAGATAGTCAATCATACCCTTCATTCTGTTTGCTAGCACCTTTGAAATAATTTTACACAAAATGTTACAGAGAGCAATTAGCCTAAACTGGGAGATGGATTCAGGGGTTGTTTCTTTAGGGATAAGCACCACATTCGTAAGATTGAGATCCCTAGGCAGAAAGCCATCTTCAAAAAAATTCGTAATCAGCTTAAAGACATCATCCTTCACAATGTGTTATAACCTATGAAAGAAAATTCCTGGGAAGCCATCGGGTCTAGGGGATTTAAGGGCACCCAGCTCCTTCACTGCACCATGCACCTCCACCTCAGAGATAAGTCTCAGCAGCATAAGGTTCATCTCCTCCGTAACCCTACTATCCACAACATTCAAAGCATCAGACCAATTCCTTTCCCCCATAGTCGTGAACATATTTGTGAAATAGTCACTGATATGAGCCTTTATATCCTCCTCACCCTTTAGCCAATCCCTACCATTAGTTTTAAGTCTCAGGATTTGATTACGATTCCTCCTTTGGATAGTAGTCATGTGAACGAACCTAGTGTTCTGGTTCCCGTCCTTTAACCAATTGATTCTCGATCATTGCAGCCAAAACTTTTCCTCTTTGCGTCTATAAGTATCAATTTGGGATCAGAGCTCAGCCACCCTAATCAAGTTATCCTCGAAAGGTTCCAGGCTCTAGACATGGATACGCTCACTCCCCAGATCCCGAATGGCCTTCTTAGTGTTTCCAAACTTTTGTCTGCTCCATACTGAGAGGCGTTGTCTACACAAGTCCAGATTTGAAATAACATTCAACATCACAGTATTAGGTTGCCTGCTAGCCCAACTGCTCTTNCTGTCTGTTCCATACTGAGAGGCGTTGTCTACACAAGTCCAGATTTGAAATAACATTCAACATCACAATATTAGGTTGCCTGCTAGCCCAACTGCTCTTGACCACTTTTTTGCATTTCGGATCATCCAGCCACAAACTCTCGAACTTAAAATGATACGGGGTCCTCTTAGTCTTTACTCTGAAATCGATTACAACTGGGTAGTGGTCAGAACCCATTCTTGCTTCGTGGATCACATGAGTGGAGCGGAAGAGAGCACTCCAATCTGGGTTAACCAACACCCTATTAAGCCTTTCTTGTACATTTGTAGCCCCTGGTCTATTGTTTGACTAGGTGAACCTAAGACCACTGAAATTTAGCTCCATAAGGCAACACTCTGAGATGAGCTGTCGAAGTTTCTCAACTCTCCTAATACTGCAAACAGTACCTCCTTCTTTCTCTCCCAGAGACCCAATGACATTAAAATCACCAGCCACCAACCATGGCATATCAGAGGACCTAGCAATCAACTTCAATCTCTCCCAAGTCCTCTTCTTGATTTTGCACTTCGTATCAACATAAATGAATGTACATTGCCACAGTTTCGGATGGTGTAAAAGGTTGCATCTTACGTTAATCATATTCTTGTTCTTTTCAACTACATAAAGATTAATCCCTTTTTTCCACCAAANGCATATCAGAGGACCTAGCAATCAACTTCAATCTCTCCCAAGTCCTCTTCTTGATTTCGCACTTCGTATCAACATAAATGAATGTACATTGCCACAGTTTCGGATGGTGTAAAAGGTTGCATCTTACGTTAATCATATTCTTGTTCTTTTCAACTACATAAAGATTAATCCCTTTTTTCCACCAAAGATCCAAACCACCAGAAAGACCCACAAGATCCACATACTCAAAATGATGAAAGTTTAGAGATTTTCTCAATCGTTCTAATTTATAGGACTTGTTTTTAGTCTCCATAAGAAAGATGATTGAGGAACGACGGGTATCAATAAGCCCTTGTAGATTACGGACTGTCTGGGGTCGTCCCACTCCCTAATAGTTCTATGTGGTGACTAACATAAATTC